CTAGTCATGTAACACAGCAGTGGTGCAGGCTTCATCACCAAGGACGAATAGCTTCTCTAATCACCAAATATCAATGCTCTTGACTATTGTTTGTGGGCAGTTCTTGAAAGTGACACCTGTTCTATTCTGCACCACAATATTGAAGTTCTGAAGGCAGAATTGAAGAGAGTATGGGACAAAATACCTATGGAAACTGTGTTTGCCTCCACCAATGACTTTCTTGAAACATGTCGTGAAGACGAAAGGGAAGCTTATTGAATGAGAGTTGCTGGTGTTATTTAACAGATTAAAACTTACTTTGTATTAAAGTGGTATGCTGATATAATAAATTTTTCAGGAGATATAAACTTTTTCTTTTGTAACAATATTTATTCCATACCCTGTATTAACACTTTAAATTATTATACTAAAACTATATTTATGAAACATGACTTAAATTTATGCTTACAAGTTGTTTATACAGATATTATATATTGTTTTTCAACAATCCCTATTTTACACCAGTTTCATTGAAGATGACTGTCATTAAGCTTCTTATTATATCGCATGTTACAAGAGATTTATTTTTGGACAGAGTATCTAAGAACTATCCAAATGATTTTTAGATCTGAGCATTTTTGGCTAATCTAGTAAACATTATCAAGGACTTTGATGGTAATTTTTTTTTTTTTTTTTAATCTATAAAAATGTTTTAATTTCCAGAGAGTCAGCATATTGTGGTAATGTTCATAATTAATATTATTAAGAGCTGGTCTCTTGTTTTTTATTATTATGGCTTCCATTATTTTTAAGCATTTTTTGCAGTTAGATGAGTATATTATGTTGGTATTTTCTACGCATATCAAGACTTACTTTGCACCAAACTACATACAACCAACAGTATTAATGAATTTAGACGTTCTTTACAGGAGCATATTCCTAATGAAAATAAACTTATGAATAATAATTACATTGGACATAAAACTACATGCCTATCAAAAAGGTTTACTTAGCACCTCTCAGATCACAGCTCCATCAGGACCCATTTAAATACACACAAAGATCTAGCAACCTCTATCCATAACATACTCATAAAATACACTATGCCCACAATGTGCTGGGTGTGTTGGGGAATTAAAACATTTCTATTGCTATATATAAAAAAAATTAGCCTGGAGGAAATTGTTCTTTGTTAATACAATCTATGAAGAAGTATTGGGATCTGAAGTGGCAACATAGAACTCAACAAAATATTTTATGGTGCTGTGACGTGCATATTTCCACATAAATACATTTATGAACCTGTAACAACTTCAACAGATGATATGTAAAAGTGAATGTGCATTTATTTTTTGTCCCGTTGTGTCCTATTTGCCAACACTTACAATGGAAAATTTTGCTAAATTTGTTCATAGCCTTGCATCAGAGGTTAAAAATATTAGTGACTCATTGGGGATGCGCACACGTACATCCGTCAAAATACAAACACTAGATAAAAAGAATAGTAGGTTTAGGACATGGGTAGGAGAGATGGAGCATTAATTTATGCTTGCTGACTCATCAGAGGACAAAAAGCTGAGGAAGAATGTACAAAAAACAGGAGATGCTATAGCTAGATACACCTAAAAGCTGATATCGAACAGCCTGCAGTTGACTTGGGAGACACTAAGTTGAACTTTGCAGAGTACTGTGAAGAGGCAGTTGATGTTTTAGGCAGCGATCCAGCATTAGGCAGGGTAGAAATAAAGAAACCCGATCCTACATGGATAGGCTATTTTCATGGAGTGGTTAGATAATGTAACAATCAAGATGTTGGTTTTCATAGACCAGCTGTAGATGCTAGAGGTCACATCAAGAAACACTAGTGGAAAGTAAGCTAAGACTTAGGATGGATGGATGTTGGATTTAACGGCATGTCAACTCCTATTTGAGACTTAGGAATGGAATGGATTTTGATAGAGAATATGTATACAAACCCATGGAAGTTTGCCATGCTAAGTGAAAACCTAATGTAGAAGTTAATCCCCGGGAGAGAGGATATGATAGAAACAGGTATAGTTATGTAGGGAGCCATAGATGATATATTCAATAGAGGCAGAAGGGTGGTTATCAGCTGGGAATGTGATGGTGAAGGTCATATTAGATGGAGTTGTGAGTGTTTTGGTAAAATGGGGAATGTCTGGTTGGAAGAGGTGCACCAAGTAAGGAATTACCTATGTAGTCAACAATATAGGTCAGTTAGAATTAAGCTAGGTAGACATTCACATAGGGCTCAGATAGACAAGGGAACAGAAGTATAGGTCATGTATTGGAGAGCTTACAGAGTGCTGCAACCCAAGCATGAAATTTTAAAGAGAGATACATATACAGATAGCAAATGGATTGCCTCTGCATTAGTTATAATGGTTAGGATAGACAGTCAACACACACTACATTTATATAGTGCAAAACTTAAATAGGAGTATAATACTGGAATGGGACTGGCTACAGCAAAATGAGGCTAGAATGTATTTTGATTTAGGAGCTCTACAAATAGGAGATGAATATGTTACTTTAGAAGAAGACAGGTACATTTCATCCATATCTGGGATAGCCATATTCAATTCCAGTATATGTGTGCAGCAAACGTTGGACTATGGAATAGATTAACAAACTCTTAGGAAGTTGAACAATCAAGGTTGGGATTCATTAGTAACCTGTGTGGCACTTTTGTAGTGAATGCAGTAGTAACAATAAGTGCAACAGGCAGAATACTGTTGCTGTTCATTGCAATTAATATGAACTAAACAGTTACTTTGAGATGAGGGTACCTGATAGGTAAGCTGAGCCAGTGTTGAAGTGGCATTGAGGATAGGAGGGAAAACACAAGAAACTTTGATCAAAATTTTACACTGGAAACATAAAAGAAACAAAGTTGCTTAGCTTGAAATTTAAATTTTTTATGCCTAGTGTATGTAGATACATAACAGCTGACCTCTGCTTTCTATCACTTTTATTTTAACTGTTATTGTTTTTAAATATCTCCCACTGTATAAGCATTAGTATTATCAGGGAAGGAGATATAATCCTCGACATAAAGTTACTGTGGAATATTCCAAAATTAGAGCATCTTCAATGCGTGTTTGCCTTAATAACATTAATTAAAGCTGTATTTTTCAAGTCTATATATCAGTCCATCAGGACTGAGGGTTTGAGAATACTGGCCTTGTTAAAACTGGTGATTATCTTCAGATTATGTGCCATCTCCTGGCAACTGTAACTAAGGTTGGCTTAATATAGTTGCAGTATAAACCATAGACAGCTTCTGTGGGTGTGGAACAAATATGAATTAATATAAGTAAAATGCTTGTCACTTAGCTGATTAATGTTACCTTTAGCATCCTGACTCCAGAGTTTCATAGACGGACCCTCATCAGGGGGTATCAGCTATATATATATATATCACTCAAATATGATAATCGTTTCATTCACTTCAATGATTATTATGTATACAGTGACACATCAAATTCTGGTGGTAAGAAAAACAAATGAGGAAATAATGAGAGTTGTATCAACAACTGCATTTGAATCCTAGATTTAGAGGAAAACTTTTGGCAATACTTATTAATTTCCAGGTTACTTCTAATTAACAGCTCCCTGATTTAGTTTTTGTCATTTTCTGCCTAGCAAACTAAATATTTCTAACAATAAGACCAAATATTTGATGATTACACACTGAATTTTGAAATGTTCCACTTAAAATTTTGTTTCTGAAGGTTTTGGTATTCAATTGCAATTTCATGAACTGAAAAACTGAAAAAATAAAAGAAGAGTGAATTGCTTGTGGTCAGGAATTAAGGTAAGCCTTACTGAAAAAAATAAGGCATAATTCATAGGTTTAAACAAATTCAGCTATAATTCTGTACTGATAAAATGCTTTAAATTTTCTAAAGATCCTTCTGGGGTCAGTTTTGTTTTGTTTTTCCCATATATTTTGACAATTTTGTTTATAGTTCATATTTTCTGGATTTCAGATTAAAATTTGAAATTTTTTCAACATATTTCTGTTAAATTTACACTTCCAAAATTATAATTTTTTAATTATACTTTAGATACTGTACATTGCTGCTTATAAAACACATTTATTTCCCTATAAAATATATAAAAAGAAACACAAAAAACAAAAACATAAACATTGCATTCTATAAATTGAAAGCCAGTGATGAGAGTTGTAAGTTTGGAGTGTGGGGGTGAATGTCAGCTCTCCAGCTACATCTGATTCCAAGCCCTTGAAAGGAAAACAAGACCAGTGTTTCAAAATTAAATCAACAATGTTTTGCGAGAAGCTATTTATGCAGTTGGGATACTTGGATATTGACAAGAAACAAAATTCGTGCTAGAGTAACACCCACTTAAGTAATAACTTCCTTCATTCCTTATTTCTTAAAGTACTTTCTTAACCTATACATGAATCAAAACATAAACTTGTTTCTGTAGCCAAATTAACATTTATCTAATTTGAAATTACTGCTCCATCCTGGTTTGTGATGGATTCTTAACAATTAGTGAGGATTTCAAGCTGCAATAAGGTTAAGCTTCACTGGTATTATGCACTCTAACTTCTCTTCTAATTATTACATTCTGAATAGTTATTATAAATTTGGTACTTCTTCTCAGTCTGTGATGAATGTCATTATTAGTCAAGTTTTCATACTGAAATATGCTATTCAGTGGGTAAAATTGGGGATAGTGAACCACTGTTTTTGATGCTGCTCAGAGAGAGAGAGAAAAAAAGCTACCTGCAGCAAATATTCAAAAGAGGGGTCTTTTCATAAGCCAATATATAACCTTGATTATTATTGTAAATTGATATTTTTTTTAATATTTCTAATTGAACTTATCTAAGTCACACAAATTCTACTGAGACTATTTACAATATTGTTTTTGATTAGATAACCATCACATGCTAATAATTAAAGATCTTATAATATTTAATTTTACTCCAAACAAAAAGTTTTTCATATTAAAATAATAATACATACCAAAACTAAAACATCAACAGGCTCAGGGTCTTCAATCATCTCAAGTTCTTCAATTTCCTGGGAGCATAAGAAAATGACTTTGTCAATAGATAAATACAATTCTAAGGTACTTACAATTACAGAAAGAACAAAATAAACACAAAAAATTTGAACTGATAAAAAAAAAAAAAAAAAAACCTGCAGTTCTGAATCCCTCCACCCACCTTTTTTTTTTTTTAAGTCTCTTCATGATGTAAGCAATCACAACTTTCCACAGATTCTTTTTTTTTTTCTTTTTTTATTATCCATGAATTGCCATGAATTCTGAGGAAAGATGGTGGTTTTCCTTCTCTTAGAAATGCAAATCCAGAGAACCCAGTCTACTTTGTGATTTAATCCGTAGCTAGAGGAGATAGATTCTACCTTTCCCAATAACATCGGTGTGAAAGTGAATGGAATGAACTAGCCTAGAATTTGAACTCAGCTCATTGATTATACTTTCTGCACCAATATTTGTTACATTTTACAACTTAATCCTTAGTTTCTATTTAAAAGTCCTCTATTTTGATAAAGTTAATATACAAAACAAATGCTATTGCTAATGAAACCATAGACAGCAGATCTGAACTCACATGACAAAAAGCTTTTTTTGTTTTTTAAATCAAGAAATAATGAAATTAGAATAAGTGTTCATATTTGATACTTTGATGACAATCATGAAACAACCAACAATAGAGAATAGCATTTCTTAAAGAAAACAATTACAAAATCCTATTTGAATTGATTGTTTGATTTGCTTTCTATAGCTTATCAATCCTTTGTAGGTTAATTAAAGATAGAAAATATTTTTAGATTGTAAGAATTTTTTTTGTTGGGGGTTCAACTATGAGAATTGTAAACTGTGAATGAGTTTATTGTAAATTTGTTATATTTTACCAAAAATATTTCCAATGTCTTAGGATATTCAGCATGAGATTAAAATAGATAAAATAAAAAGCATAATCTTGAATTAAGTTTTTCAAAAGGAAAATTAATGTCATCTTTCTCATGATTTCAATATTTAAAGTTGTAAAATTTATTTTTTCTTCTGGATTATTACCACTTTCTTCACAACTCATTGTTATAACATTGTTGCTTGGCTGAGCTGGCCTGTTTTGATAAAAATAGGATATTGCCATTTACTGGAAATAAATGACGATAAAGATGTTGATAATGATTTTCCATGGGCACTGCCATTTTGGCTTTGATCAGACACACTAGAGCATAAATTAAGTTAAATAGTGCTTCCAATACTTAATAATATAATATGTCACAAAATAGATCATATTGTGTACTACTATCAGTTATTCCACACTGGTGAAAATGGTTCAAAATAGTCTAATTTCCTTCAAGTACAACTGGCAATATCTTGAGTATTTTTAAAGTTATTTTGATAAAATTAATATGTAAAGAAAATTTAACGTTTTCTTTTTATAAAGATACAATTCTTTCTCTTGCGTGATAATTTGTTTTTATTCCAGGACTCTTAAAATGAGGCCATGTTTCAATGGCAGGCACTTCTTTTTCCACATTTTAAAATCAGAGAATTTTATGTTCATGTTTTGAAATTTGTTGCGCTTGGAGTTATGTGTTCTTACACATATCCAAATAATCACATTTTAAACAAAAGAAGTTTGAGGTTATTTTTCACAAAAAAACTTTTAAGTTGAAAACTTCAGTGCATGAAATACCAGAGAAATTCACTCCTTAAAAAAACGAAAATTACACCACCTTATAGAGCAATGTTTTGTCTTTAATGATCAATTGGTTTCATATCACTATGCCTAACAACGCAAAGCATGAGCAAATATAAAAGGAGGTGTTTTTGAAATGTGAATTCTCTGGCATCCCTGACTGACATCCGATTTAAAGGCTCTGGAGCTTGTTTCATCAATGGACATTTCACAGTTTCTAGGTGAGCTTAAATATTTTTTCTATATTTCTTATGTTTATTCTAAAGTTGTATAAACTCACTTATTGTATAAGTAAATAGGCATTAAAAGTAAACTAGAAATACATATTTTAATTAAATTTTACATACTAGAACTTGTCCATAGAAAAAAAACAAAAAACAAACTTTGAATACATTAAATGGTGCAATTATTAAATGTACATCACGTATTTGTCAATGGAAAAAAGAAGGAAAATTTGTGCACATAAAAATGAAATAAAGTATTGTAATTTTAAAATGTGTGTATGCATATATTTATAATTTATTTTTTTAATTCTCACATTTGTGTATGCAAAATATTGCAATATTAAAAATTTCTATTAAAATTTTTACTAATTAAGTAATTTTGGGGATTAACTCCTAATTTCACAGATTAAATTGAACATTTAAGTTTATTTTTAATTAGACTTGATACATTTTATAACAAATAAAATAATAAAAGGACATTTTTCAATTGAACTATTGTGGGTCCATAAAAATTACATAATTTCTAAAATTAAACATTTTTTTTATTTTAAATGGATATTTCTTGGAAAATATTTTTTACTTTTCTACCAAATTTATTTCAAATAATTAATTTTTGGTAATTAGTAAATATTACTTTTTTAAACTTTGACAGTAGGTTTTATTTTATGGTAATTTTTTTTTTTTTAAGCATATGTTTAAATTTTAATTAACAGTACATTTTAATACCTAATTTAACAATAACAATTCATGAGCAAACATTGCTATTCAAAAAAAAAAAGAACATAACTTTAAAATTTTCAGTTTATTTATTTTTATATAAATTTTCAATTGTTGGATTATTTCTTTATAAAAGTGAAAGCCTAAACTTATAACATTAAGACATTTATTTTTTGGTAAAAAAAACAAAAAAACTTTTGCTTTTCCCTTTTATTGCAGGTCTGATTTTTATTTTTTTTAGTGCTTTCCATGCCTGGAGATTACTTTATGTTTTGAAATTTACATGTTATTATAATGAATATTTAAAAATTTTCTGTTCAGTTGATGATCAACTAAATGTCCTGAAAGATTGTTTTCTTGTAAGTGGAAAAAAAAAAAAGAGGCATGCCAAAGAAGACCCCAAAGTCCTTGCAATGTACAAAAAGGTTGGTAATGCAGTTAAAAACACTGTGTTATGAAAAGAATATGGAAATCAGTGTTGGGTAGGCAGGCGTGGTTTAATGATATGGCAGTAACACCCAGTAATCTAGGTGCAGTTTCTAGTGAGGTCTCATCTATTTTATAGCTCAATTTCTGTAACTTCTATGGTTTTAAGGGCCATGAGGGAAGCAATTAAAGAGGTGAAGAGCTCACAGGTTTAGAGGACAATTTAACAAAAAAAAAAAAAAAAAAAAATTTTTTTGCAAAATCTTTAAAGAGTACTTCTTTTTTTTTCCTATTTCTTTTGTGATACAAGAATTGTGGATTTTTACTTGACTTGCAGGTTTTTTGCATGGTTCTGTAAACTATCCTAATACAAAGATGGAACAGTCAAGATTGATGAATAAAGTTTAACAAACATTTAACACAGCCAAGAAAATTTTAGCCACTAAAGGAGAAGATGACTTACAAGCCTTTTTAGATTCTTCTTGTGATGCTTTTTTTTGTAGCTGATAAACTTGCTGCCATTGAAATTACATCACAAGAACGAAGACCCAGTGACTAACTCTGGTAGCTGTGATGAAGAAGAACTATATCAAGTGATCTTCAGATATGAGAAGACAAGGCCAATGGGTTGCTATATATGATGATTCCAGTTTCTACTTTGGCGAAGTCATTGACATGACATCTCCAACCAGTGCAATAATCAAATTTCTAGTGCCAACTAAGGGTAGAAATGATTATTTCTAATGGCCTTTGGTAGGTGACATTGCACAGGTCGAGTCAATCTTAAGATGGGACTTAGGTGTAATGCCAGTTTCAAGTGATGGTAAAATCCGGAATGTTCCAGAAATATTGGTTATAGAAGCCTATAAAGGAATTCAAACTGAAAATCATCATTAGCAGAGGAAGTGCAGTAGAGCTGTTCAAACTGCCAAGAAAGACTTTTTCATCAGTTCCAATAAACATAGTTTTACTAATTTCAATTTTGTTGTTATTTTATTTTTTAAGTTTTAAGGCTTTACAATAAGCATTTGTTTAAAAAATTGACTACTGATTCCTTTTGTATAACATTTCAAAGTTTTGATGTTGTCAGTCCTTTTTTGAAAAGTAAGAAAATTGTGTAAATTTACAAAATTTTCCAAAAAAAAAAAAAAAACAAATATATTTATGAGAAAAAGTTTTAATATTATAGACAAAATGTTTTGTTGAATTCCTTATCCCAAAATGAATAAAATTTCCAAGTATCAGGCTTGTATCTCTACCAGATACTTTTTACAGCAAGTTCAAGTTATATTTTTTACCTACTGCCAAATTTTGCTTCTGTCTATAATTACATGGTGAAATAAGAGTTGTTTTACTGATGTACTTCCATGAAAAAAATTTAGCTTAATCTTTAACATATTATGAAACATATTAAGAAATTTCAAAGACTTAACTGTAGAATTGAAATTTATATAAATGGTCAAAGTTGCCTTACTGTATTAACTTTACACTGTTTTTAGGACATATTGTGATGTCTGCCCCCTGTTTAGGCTGGTCTTGTCATTAGTATTATCTTTCTTTTATGACTTAATGATATTGCATTTATAATTACTTTTCACTGGTTTGTGGCCTGCATCTTCAAATATACACTGTTAATCGCACACAAGATGGAAAATCCAACAAACTTTGAATGGTCATAACTCAATTGCTAATTGAGCTAGCAAGATAAATTTAGTCATTTTTTTATGTTTTGTCAAACTCTATATGCCTACATGAAAAGCTTTTTAGATATATTGAAGAAAAAAAATAGTTTACTACTATGTCTATGCTACTTTGGAAATAGCACTAATTAGTTTATAGCATAAACACAAGGGACTGGCATTTCATGGCATCTTGAGAATGTATGTATACATCAACAGCAAGCAATGTAAGTTTTGTAAAGACATATGTATGCAAAAGTGCTAAAATACAGAAACAATTTCTATTCCAAAATTCAGACATGCCTTTATGTAGTTTTTTTTTTTTTGATTCAACTAGACAAAAATATATTTTTTTTAAATTCTAAAACATTTCTATGCATGTATATCCATACATGAAGATATATATGGAAAAAGAAAAAGATCAAATATACAAAAGCTACTGCAAAACCTTTAATGTGAAAGAGTCATTACCTTTTTTTTTCAATAATCAGTTCACCCCAAGTATGGCGATAATGCCACCAAGATGCAAGGGGTTACTGGGAGTGAAAGAAAATAAGAAGACTTTAGAAGGAACCAGAAACCCAACCCTAAACAGGAAACAAGTGATAAATCTCAACTGGGAAGGAGTATGAACCAGATGATAAGCAAACCTATCTACTCCTATTGAAGAAAAAAAGAATAAAAATGAATAGTAAATAAAATTTCAGAGTTTAGGTGGAGACACCAGATGTATAGAGTTGAAGTAGACTTTATAAGGAACCAGAAACCCAATTTTAAAAAGGAAATAGGGGATAAACCTCTACCCCTGCTCAAAAGACGGGGGTAGAGTTTGAACCAAATTATAGGCAAAACTATTTACTCTTATAAAAAAAAAAAAAAAAAAAAAAAAAAAAGTAAATATTAAATAAAATTTCAGAGTTTAGGCAGTCATGTTAGAAGTATAGAGTTGAAATAGAATTTCACTAGAAATAGTGATAGAGTAGTAAATGGCCTGCAACATTTTGCTTATGGAAAAGGGGTTGTAGAGTGGAAAAAATTACCAAAATGAACTGTCATAGTAAACACTAATAGGCAGAGATGAAACTGTTTAAAACTTTGTTATGTTATGAGAGAGAAAAGTTATTAAAAATAAAAAATATATAAACCAATTTTGTTACATAAAAACATATTGTAATATAAGATTTGCATCTTTTTAAGCTTTTGCTCACCAGATTGAACTTCCGAAGCATATCTCCAAATCGTCTTATTTCATTTTCCATTGTACGTTCTTCATGCATATTTGTGGTCACCCGAGACGTCAAATGATTCTTTCGTTCCATCAGAGTTTTACTTTCATTGATTTTTTCCATCAACCCTTGTTCACAGTTGGAAATCACATCCTCTACATTTGTTGAAAGATACTGAGCTCGTTCTTTGTTGCTGGAGTAATACCGATAGTTAGGCTCTGGATAAATTTGGTCCCCTTCCATAGTGAAAGCTTCTCTTACACCACGGGTCTGTAAATTCCTCATCACATTTCGTGCTTCTTGTGCTGTTTTAATGAGAATCACATGTTCAATACCCCGTTGGTCAATTAGGCAGTTTCCCACTACAGAGTCCTTTACTTCTAATATATCAAGGACAGTTGGATGTGGACAATTTCTGGGTTTCTTAAGAAAGAAAAGAGATACATTGAATTGCATGTGGATCTTGTAACAGTCAATATTAATTCCTTAATGTTGAAAAAAAATAAATAAAATAAATAATCATCAACAAAAAAAAAAAAATAAAAAAAAAATAAAAAAATAAAAACCTATTTTCATTAAGTCAAAGAAAATTCATAGGAAAATAATGAACAAGAAAGCATTTGGAATGATTGAGGAAGGAGTTATGAAGTGAGAGCTAAACAGAATTTAGGTATCAATTTCTTAAGCACATTTACAAAGATGAACAGAAACGAGAACTGACAATGCGATAAAAAGTCAAACAAAAATGTGAAGAAACTTACATGATTAGAAACATCATGCAGTTCAGACTGTAAAAGAAAAAATATTTTTATTAAAATCATATTTAGAATAATTCATTAAAATAAGTTATTTTATAAACAGATACATTGTACTTGAAACTGAAAGCCTTTAGTAAAAAAAAAAAAAATAATGTTAGGGAAATCTTAGAAGTGGATTTGAATTTTAACTCATTTTTATTCCTTATGCAAACAGTGAACAATGTTTACAATAATACCTCATCTCAGAAATATAGACAGATACTGAATGTTTACAAGCTTTAGAAAATTTCAGAATCATGAAACATCTGCTCCACATAAATTTGAACACTAGTCAGTGTTTCTCTTCTTGATGTAGGAAAAAAATGCATTTTTAGAAAAGTAAGTCAATGGCAATGAAAAATTACTTTATTACAGAGTGGCAAAGTAAAGAAACTTGTGGTTAAAACAAAGACATTTAAAATACAGGGTGTCTCCTTAAAATTGATATCATTTAAAATCTGAGAAACTACATGTCCCAGGTAAACAAAATTAAATAGGTGTCATGTTGAACAATAAAAGATTTATTTATCAAAATTTGAACAAGATATTCAAAGGAATGTAGATTTTATAACCGATTTCACAAATCTTCACAAATGTTCAAAATGAGCACCACCTGTGACACGACACAAATCAAGTCAGTAGTGCAGCCAAATATACTGTAGCATGTCTTGTGTAACATTCTCCAGCGTCTCAGTGAGGCTTGTAGGAAGAATGGGGGATATAGACCTGTCCTTTCATATAGCCCCATAGAAAAAAATCACATGGTGAATGTGGTGGTCATTTCAACAGCAAACTGTCATTTTCACTGTCATGCCCAATCTTCTTGGTAGATTCTCATTGAGATAAGTCCATACAGTCAACTTAATTTTTACACATTTTGTTAAAATTTGAGATCATATAAGTGAATATTGGCTGTTATGAGACTACAAAATGATGTCAATTTTTTGTAGGTGGAGAGGCACACTACATTTACTAAATGAGATCCATTAAAGAAATCCTATTCTCTAAGTTTAGTGAGTTTTCAAAATTAATTTGTTATTGTGAATTGCTATATCAAACTTTCATTAAAAAAATTGTGAAAACTTTTGCATCAATATATATATTATATACATAAGAAAAGGAATGTACAATATAAGGCTAATTGAATGACAAAAGAGACAGAAAAACTAATTATGCAGTATTAGTCTGAGAGTCACGCACACACAGGATACTTGAAAGTTTAGCCCTATAGGACATATATTTAACACTGTAATTATTGCTTAATATTGATTCATTAATTAGTTATATTTTTCATATTGTTACATTTTGGAGGCTAAGTTAATGAGAGGAGAAAGAACGGAGAAGGAGCTTTTGTATGCAGAGGATGTTGCCACTTCCCATTTGGTTGTAGATACTTTCAATGTTGAACACCTTGAAATACATCTTTTTTGTTCATGATACTGTGACTGCTGTATCATATCTGCATATGCTGACAAACTCCCTCACAGTTAGATTGGGCAAAATACCATTATGCCATCAGACAAATGTTGGCTTGTTTTACAGCTTATCAACCACATATGGGTCATTTAAAGCCAAGATATTCTTATGTCATAATTTTTTATTTTTCCTCCTCAATCATATGGTATCAACTATTAATTTACTTATTTATTTTTTATGCAATCTTATGGTTTCAGCTACTTTTTTTTCACAATCATATTATTTGTATTATAAATCCACTCTTTTGGGAAATGATATATTGTCCATCTTTGCTCTTTCAAAGAACTCCGTGTAAGTTGTTTATATTGAAGTACGTTTTCCTAAATGTAGCAAAACATGTTTTATAGTGTATACAGTTTGACATATTGATTGTTCTTCCCCTTTCAGTAAGTCTGGGTGTAACACTATGTGACACTGGCACACGGAAAGAAAAGGGTTAAAACTAAAATACAACTTGGAACAAGACGAAAAGGGTTAAAGAATGGAACGATAGACAAACTAAGAGAAAGAATCGAGATTTCTTTTAATTTTAAAAGTCTATTTTTTTAAGCAGAGATGGTTTGAAGATGTTAACTTTACCTACAGAGGCCATCTGGTAAAGCTGGGCTGACAACTGATAGATGGCACTGCCTTAAGGTGGAAGTTAAGAAAACAGCTCCTAAGAATCAGCCAGGAAAGAAAGCCGACTAAAGAGATAATATTTGGTAGTTTTTAAAGACAAAGCAGAATTAAAAAACTGATTCATTTTGCCTATCAATAAACAAGACCAAAAATTTGCTGACGAGAAATTAAAATGATAATTCTAATTAATGACTAAGCCATGCCATGCAGTTTGAGAACCAGATTTGTCAAAAGGACAACCGAGGTGATAGGTGTAGGTGAAATACCAAGAAGGAAGGAGGACTTGCCTACGCCCATTGGGAGGTGTTGGTACAAGGCACAAATAAGAGAAGGAAGGAGTTATAGGGGCAGATTGATATACCTGTGACTGCTGCTCATAGGAAAAGGGATCTCCCCAAATTTGGAGATATAATTAATTTTCCAGAGCCAGACAACAATGGGCTCTTATTGGAAGATAGGAGAAACACCAGGTCTCTTAACTACATTGACTCCCATACTGGTTTTGGATGAAAGTCAATATAAGCAGAACACTGAAGTGACCAAAAGAGTTCCAGAGCTGCCAGTTCCTGAGTGCAGAAAGTTATATAAGCCCCATGCACCAATCTTAATCCACCATGTGTGTTCAAATCAAACAGTTTTAAATAGGATTTTCTTGAGGAAATATATATTATGCTACTATAATCTAATTTTGATTGAATTAGAGTTCTGCTAAGTGTTTGTAAAGTTTTTCAGTTTGTTCCCCATTCATTGTGAGCTACCACACAAAGGAGCTGTATTGCTTTGCTACATTTCTTTTTGAGATATTTCAGATGGTGGTGGTGGGGGGAATAAAGGTAAGCTTTTTATCACATATTATTCCCAAGAAATTATACTGATCTACAACTGGTATTTCAGTTTCTTTTAGTTCTAGAGTTGGGTCATTGTGTAGTTTTCTCTTCTGACAGAAGTGCATACATTTAGTTTTCATTTTTAAAAAAACTTAAATCCATTTTCAGTTGCCCATTTGTTAATTTTATTAAAGCACTGCTATAATTTTTTTATGGTGTGCATTTGTCTGGGTTTGTAAAAAATAAGGATGTCATCTACGTAAGTCCTTCTACTCTGGAGGTTAAGCTTTTGACTATATTATTTATTTTTATACTGAAATGTCACCGATAAAATACTGCCTTGGAGCACCTCCTCTTCTTGGTTTTCTAAGTCAGAGAATGTTGATCCATCCCAGACTTTGAATTTTCTGTTAGTAAGAAAATCATTTATGAATTTTGGTAGTCTGCCCTTCAGGCCAAGTGCATGCTGATCCCTCATGATACCATCTGTCCATGTAGTATCATAAGCTTTATCCAGGTCAAAAAAGACTGCTGTAAAGTGCTCTTTTAGGACAAATGCATCTCTTATAGCCAATTCTAAGTGGGTTAAATGGCCCAATGTGCTACTTTTCTGTCAGTGAAATAGGTCTGTAGTTTTCTGGGTCAGAGTTGGCTTTTCCAAGTTTTGGGACTGGTATTATAGTAGTTTGTTTCCAAATATCTGGGAAATTTCCCTTTATCCATATATTATTGTATATTTTTTTGAGAAATTCTAAGGATCCTTCTGGTCTTAGAAACTCATAGTAGACTTCATCAGGTCCAACTGTTGTGTTATGGCATCTTTTTATGGATGATTTCAATTCTGCTAAACTCAGTGTGTTGGTGTAGCTTTCTGTATTGTTAGATGTAAAACTGAGTTTGTATATTTCTGTATTTTGTTTTAGGACTTTTTGTTGTCCATTTTTACTTTAAGAATGTTTTTAAATAGTTTCAGCTAATTTCTCTTTTATGTCCTTTTTGTTGGTCACGACATTGTTATTTTTGGAAAGATGCTTAATTGGTGTCATTTGGTATTTCCCAGCTATTTTCCTTGCCATTTCCCATACCGATTTTGTTTTTGAGGAGGAGTTTAGCATGTTGACATATTTTTGCCAAAATTCTTTTTTTGGCTTCTTTCACTGCTCTATATAACTTGTAATTATTTAAATTTACCGTTGTAGGTACTTTGTTAAAGTTTCATAGAGATGCCTTTCATAATCTTGAACTAGGGTCTATTTTGTATATTTGGCGTTGAACATTTCTTTGCTACAGTGATTAGTATCTCTGTAAAGCATTCTGCTGAATCTATATTGTTGTTTTGTGTTAAATTTTCTTTACAAAGTCCTTTGAATTTGTCCCAGTTTGCTTCGTTTATTTTCCATCAGAATATATTTTCACTACTTGGTTCAATGTTTTCCAGGAGGATCGGGAATTGGTTGCTTTCATAAGTGTCATTTTTATAGCCCAAGAAAAGTCCAAATATACTGTTGGGTCACATAGGGTTAGATCAGTAGCTGAATAGTTTCCTGAAAAAGGGTTTATATATGAATGTACTTCTTTATTTAGTAGACATAGGTAATTTTCATTTATAAGTTTTAGAACGGTTTTTCCCTTTAGGTCTGTGTCTGTATTTCCCCTCCCATGTAGTGTTGTGGCTATTAAAGTCTCCTAATAAAATAAAAGGCTTGAGTACTTGGTCTCAGGCTTTGGAGCTCATCTTTGTTTATGGAGTCTTTTGGCATAATATATACCAAGCATATGTTAACGGTTTTATATAGGCTGGATCTGGATATGTTAATGGTTTTATATAGGCTGGATCTGGTGGATTGAAGTTCCTCCACTGGCCTTTTGTCCTCACCCATATATATGACTATATATATATGATAATTTTTTTTTATGTTTATCTTCTTGTTTTAAAAAGGTTTCTTGAAGACAAACAACATCTGGATATAAGTCTATTAGCTACAGTAAAAACTCATTAAAATTTGCTTATGACCTTTTATTGTGTATTAAGTATCCATATTTCCTTTCCATTGTAAGGTTTTGTTTAGTTATGCCATCTTGTTTATGATGTGTTGCTGTATGATAACTGACATCCATTAAAAAACATGGCACGTGGAACTAGAACAGTCTACTTCAGTGAATGAAATAAAGGGTTCAGTTCAACATTCCAACCGCCTGAAGAAGGCTGGCGTGTACAACGTCCGAAACGTTGTAATAAATATGGCGACAAAGATGAGGACAATAGTCCAAATAATGTAAATAGTGTACATAATACCTCAACTCAGAAATATAGACAGATACTGATGTGTTGAGGGCGTAGAATCCATTTTGATTTCCATTTGTTCAAACTTTTCAAATTTCACCTTTGTCCTTGCTTGGCTATACTGGGTTGGTTTTTGATTTTTTTCTCTCATCTTTGAAATAGTTCTGTGTTTTTCCTTATTGATTTGTGTTTCATTCTTTACCTTTTCTTCAGTTATGGCTTAATTTGGTAGTGAGAGATATTTCTATATTTGTTATGCTGGTTTTTAAGACTTTAATGAGATTTTGCAATTCTTTTATTAATGATGTTGTGTTTCTGTTTTGTTCTTTGTCATATTATTTCCTAGATTTTCATTTATCTTTGGTGATGTTTTGGTGATTTTTGTATAATTTTATATAGAGAAATATGTTTTTATAAGTTTTCTTGCCTCTGGGAATGTAATGTTTTGAGTTATTTTCATTCTTATTATTTCTTTTTCTTTTTCCATGGTCTTGCATTCTTTAGCATCAGCTCTGATCTCCATTTTGGTTGATTTTTACATGTATCATCAATGGTTTGGTTCTATTTCTCCACATCTTGCACATATTTATTTTTTTATACAATACTCCTTCAGATGACCATATCTTTGACATTTATGTTATCTTCTTGGATTTGGAATATATTTATCTACTTTGGCCATTAAATAGCTAATTGTCAGCCATGACCAACAGGTGGCCTCATTGGGAGGGGGGGATACCACCTATGCAGAGGTGCAGTCAGTGTATTCTGAAGCCCCAGCTGACAGTGTGGCAGACAGATGTGGTTTCAACAGGATGGTGCTCTGCCACATTTTGCTACACTTGTTCATTAACAAGAATTTAGAGGGAAATGGATTGGATGATGATGTGGTCAAATTGATTGATCTGGAAATCTGGGTGGACAAATAACTTCATATGGAGCCACCTTATATCTAATTCCTTCCTCCCCAATTCCCAGCTTGTTTCACCCATTTGAGAAACACTTAGAGACAGTATCTTTTAAACAACACAGTCAACTGTTAATTGTGTGACATATAAGATGTTATTGTACTTGAATAGAATGTCCTAGTGTACTAAGTCTATAAAATATTAGGAAAATACTTGAAATTACAAAAATAATTTAGCTACAAGGAATTAGTTAAGCAAATGATATCACAATTCTTGAAATATAATAACTGTCCACAGATAAAACAGTTGAAACAAGTAGATAGCAAGTTAACTATAAGAGACAAGGATTCAACAACAAACAGTGAAGAAGGGAAAAAAAAGCAATAATTATAATCAGTATTTTTTTGTAATGAATAAAACAATAAGCAAATACAACTACCAAACAACTAATTTACATAGTAGGCACTAATATTTCTAGTGATATTTGAAATTTGTAAGATTTTAAACTTATCTGCCAGTATCTATGACAATAACTTTTAAAAGAGATGCTATTATTAATATCAATCTCACAAATGATCAAAGTTTGGAAAAAAAAGAAGCAAGGTGATGTCTTGTAAAGTATTGGTTTATTGACAGTTAATGATATAAAAAGGTGAAAATCTAGGAAGGAAATATTGAAATTCTCTATTGATAGGAATTGCAAAAAAAAAAGATTGTAAGGATTGATTGATAGCAGAATAGTGGATCGGGTGAATGCATTTACTTGACAAGGTGAATAAAGCAAAACAGGTGCCAGAAGATGTACCTGAGATTTAAAGGGTTTTGTTGCAACCTAATCAAAACCACCAAAATTAAATGCAGTTATATTAGTAAAGAAATCTAAGGCAAGGCAGGTTTTCTTCTAATTATTTTGCTGCTGCTACCACTACTATGTTTTAGTATATTAGGAAAATACCTGGGTAGAAATTGCAATGACAAACCTGAAACTGGCTGATAATAAACAATGGTGGTTTGATTTCAGGACAGACTTCTTTGAAAATTTTCTCCAGCTGAAGAGAGTCATCGTGATCATTTACACAAAATGCATGAATGAGAGATTTGAGGCAACTTTCAACAGCCAGTGCCCATTCAGAATCTTTCAGTTTAATCCACTCACCTGAAAAAAAAAAAAAAATCTCAATATCAACAAATTCATTTGGATAGAATTTTATATATATTATATAAAATGCTTCAATAAATAATTTGAGAATTGGTAAAAACTTTTTGATTGAGATTTTATGATTATATACAAATAAAGTCTTTTAAAAATACAAATATTTATAAGATTTGTGTCATGCTAAATATAATAGTTTATTGAGAATATTTTCCCTTAGATAACAAAATTTTTTTTAAAAATAATGAACACCATTGTTGATAGAAGCCTATGAAATATAAATGGCGTGTACATCACCAAATCAAATTTAATTAACAGTAAGTGCCTTAAACTACTTAATAACAGAATTGTCCTTTTTGGCATTTATATGTGGATTAAAAAGAAACAAAAGAAAAAAAGTGGAGAGAGAGGGAGGTGGGAGAATAGAAAGAGAAGGAGTGAATGTATAATTGTTCAAATTATGAATCATTTTTAATATTAAAATTGTTGCTTAAACAATCATTTAAATTCAAATCTGTTAAGGTTATGCTATAAAATGTATCAACAGTTAATTTGCTTACTTGTTATTTGTAAAAGTAAGTGTTTTAAAAGTTCTTTAGATTAGGAAACACAATTATTGGAATGCCTGGTTTTGATAAATACCACAGATGATGGATTATTTTTGTATTAAGACAAAAATTATTAGAATAACAATTTAATGAGGGACAACTCACCAACAGGGCCAATGGGTTTCCTGTGAAACCTGCCACGTTTGTAATCCATGTGTATTCGGGCAATAACATCAGGAATGCGGGGACCATACTTTCTCAATTTATTCTTTACAGCAGACCTCAGGTTATTCAGTTCCCGTTGATTATCTTCAATGGCAGTCTTTAGATTACGCATTTCCATACTGCAGAGAAAATCAACTTTAATAAACCTACTGAATGGAATTTGAAGAAGGCTAACAAAAGAAAATAACGAAAACAAACAAAATCAGTTTATGATTTTTTTTAAATTTAAATAAACAAATGATTACAAATGCTTTCTTCCATTCCATCAGCCACTGTATATAACAGCAATCATTTGATCAGTAAAATAATTGAATGTTATGAGAAAGTCAACATAAAAAAAGAAAAAATAGTTTCTTACTCAACTCGATAGACATCATTCTTGTATTTGGTTACAGCCTCATGATACAAATCTTTTTCAACTTCCTTTGCATGTTTCTGTTGCTTAATTGCTTCCACTTTTTCTTTCAAGGTGTGAATTTTTTTTTCTCGTCTTTGTTTTTCTGCTTCATAATCCAACTGCAGTGAACTATCAAATGCAAGAAAGTCAATGTAATTTGCTTATCACATTCTCATGATATTTTTCTTACTAATATTTCAAAAGATATGCTAAAAAATTGACATATTAGTCAATATGGTTAACATCAACTAGTCAGTAACTAATAAAGACAACAAATTTGAATTGTGACTACTGAACCCTGTAAGAGGTTCAGATGAGTGAAAGAAATGTATCTGATGATTTTTGCAGATTATCAAGATGAAAGTTACATTATCAAAGATCAATTTTAATGACTGGATGTCAAAGTCACAGTAAAAAATTCATAACTTCCTGCAATTCCTTATATAAAGGAATGCATGTACTGAATTTGTTAGATATTATTGGAAACATTATGCATATACTTATGCATGAAATTTAATTTTTGAGGTTTTTGAATGACACTGAAAACTCACTATTACTTGATGTGTTCTCTCCACATAAGTTTTACAAATAACATCCTGATTTTTTTAAAAAATTTAAATGTATCTTCTTGACATTGCTTGCCTTAGTTTTAAACATTAGATGCCATGTATAAAATCTGTGACCTGAAAAATTACCAACAACACTTTATTATACTAGTTTCTGCTGCGTTATATTTGGTACCATCTTATTATTGTTGTCGTATGCCCTGGTCATATGAAGTTTATATTTATGCTATGACTGGTATCCACTGACTTGGATATATTTTGTTATGTCATCATTAAACAATTTTAGTTCAAACTTAGAAAAAAAAAAAAAAAAAAAAATTATTTAAAATCTTAAATTTACTCCACTAAATAGTGACAGTAAGTGCCATAAAATATTTTTTCAAAGTAATTAGTACATTGAGTTCATAAGCATTATAATAATATTAACTGAAGAACAATTGTTGTAACTGTTAGCATCACAATTTCACGTTATGCAATAATTATCAAAAGGCTGATAACAAAATAAATTAGGTCAATTACTTTTGAGGACAAAAGGTCACATTGCAACCATGTGAGTAGGAAATTTATAGAAAGTGGCTTAATTTACTAATGTGAAAGATTCTAATCAATGTTTCTTCTGTTTCATTGACAACACTCAACATCCCCACCAAAAAAACAACATCAACAATTACTTTTTGCTTAGATTAAAGTAAAAATCACAAGAAAAAGTTTTGTGTTGCAAATAATAACAGACAGACTTTAAAAAAGAACTGCCACATTTCTTATATTAAATCCAATGTTCAGTTAGTCATACCATACATCTTCATTTGTTTGGGACTGTATTGGTTTAATGAGTTTGTCCTGGTGATATAATCTATCAGGATTTGTTTTTATTTGTGTACGTGTGAACCCTGGAGCTTAAAGGGTGTTGGTCCATGAAAATTCTTTATTATACATACAAGAAAACTAAACCTATAATAAAAATTGAAAACTGTCTCAGTTTGAGGCTTGGAAATCGTGGTAAGCCTATGTTTAATGAACTACCAACTTAAATTAAACAAAATTATGCTTCAATGATAGTTTCAGTGTCTATTTCATAATCAAAATAGGTAAGGTTTCATAGTCTCAGTAGCAAATTTTACCTGTTTTTAATCTCATTTATTCTTTCTTTGATTTTTTCTCGGTCCTGTTTACCATTCTTAATATTTGTCTCCAATTTCTTCAGTTCTGCCTAAAAAAAAAAAAAAAAAAAAAATGTCAAAATTGCAAGAGATTTAGTCATTTTAAGGTGGACAGTTAAACTCCTCCATTCAAGAGTTTATTTTCTATTTTATAATAAAATTCTTCCTCCAAATGACAGGATAATATGAAGAAACAGAACAAGTTTAATTAAATAATTTATTTTCTGCCAATATTGCTTTATATAGCATACAATTGCATAATTGGTCATGTTTGTAATTTTTCTATGGTAGAAACCATTTCAGTTTTCAAGAATTAATAAAAGAATATTTGAAATAATGAAAAAAAATTAGAATGACAATTTTAATTAAGTATATTTGAAATAAATCAATGCTGAAGATTAAACATTTTTATGTTAAATATTTTCTGTAAAAATATTAAATTTCACAGCAATCAACTTTTGTTTCATCTGTCCAACCAAAACATTGTAGAGACTGAGGTGCCAAACTAAAACACCAACTTCAGACAATTCTGATTTATTTCCACTAGTAGAACTAAAAATGCATCCTATCAAGCATTAATCTTTCAGATTCAAATTCTTTCTTATAACAGATCTGAATAAAATGTTATTCTTTACATGAAAGCACATTATTAATAGAGAGATGGTTGAATTCTTTTCTCACATGACAATTAGCAAATCAGATGTGAAAACTAGTTTCAATAAAAATTTACTGAAACTGACCTGTACTTATTTAAGCCAATGTCTCACAGATATGAAAACCAGTTTCACAAAACAAAAAGTCTGCATAAATGCCAAGCATAATCCTGCAATCCTTAAAACAATTTCTCACAAGACTGGAATTTGCAATTGATGGTTAAAAAAGAAATATGTACAGAAAGACAACTTCTTTGCTTTGTGCTATGTGATCTGTCAGAGTTGACTATAGTGTTTGTCAGAAAGACCAGTGCATTTACAAAAGAAAAAAATGATTGGTAAAGAGGAGTTGTAAAAGAAAAATGTTAGCTATGACAAAAACATGTGATGAGAACAAACTAAAGGTTATAGGCTGTGTCATAGGCTTGAGAAAGCAGTGGTTCAAATTTGGTAATGAAAAAAAACAAAACAAAAAAAAACAAACAATGAAAATGCTAGTTCAAAAGAAACAGATAAATGATTTCTTTGTTCATCAAGCATCAAATGGCAGAATTGTATGGGACATGTTTAAAATTTAACTTTATCATTATGTTTAGGATTGGAATATTGTTGAAGAACAGCTAAATGGTTTTTTAAAATTATTTGCAGAAAAAATTTAGACCGTTTTTTGAACTGTCAATCTACAATGAGTTACATTTAAAGTAGGTATCGCCACTAATTTTCAATATCTATAGTTTAAAATTAATTTTTATAAATGAAAAGCTTATTTGAAGCTTTTGTTTTAGCTTTAATTGAAAGCTAAAGGATTAAATTTACTATTTACTCAGGAGTATTTCAAACAGAAATTACATTTTTTTTTCTTTTAAAGCATTATGCCCCGAGCAAGGCAGGAAGCCACTAGGATGCAGAGGTTGCAGAAGATTTGGAGCAAGAGCAGATAGGAGTGATAGAAGAAAGGATGAGGAGAGGGATAGTGGATAGATCAAGGTAACTGGAGATGTTGATTGACATTACATTTGAATAGTTGGAGATTATAGCTCTCAGGGAAACAGTAATAGGGAAGGGTGTTCCACAGGCAAGAGGTGTGAGGTATGAAGCTATTGGAGTAGAAGAGAAGGCTACATTTAAAAGTTTCTACAGTGAAAGGGTGAGAGTGGGATGCCAGCCTCGTAGGGCGCTTGAATTCATGAAGTCTGGGAACCAGTGAAAGCAGCTCATCGGAGCAATTACCATGAAAGTATTTGTAAAAAAGACAGAGAGAGGCGATGGTGCATCTGTGAGAGAGCAACTGTAGACGAGATGCCAGATCAGGGCCAATTATATTACATATCTGCCTCTGGATCTTGTCAAGAACTCCGAGGTAAACAGAAGGTGTACCAGACCATATATGGCAGCAATACTCCATGCAAGGGTGAATGGTTGATTTGTATATTTGAAGTATCAATTCTGGGGAGAAAAATCTCCTGGCGCGGTTCAGAGAGCCAACTTTCCTCGCGCATTGGTTGGAATCGATTTTTTAAAAATTTATTCTAAAATAGATGATTAGTGCCCTTTTCCAGTTGTCTGTCATCGCAATGTAATTCTCTGTATTTAAAAAGCTTCCAAAAATAAAATGTACTTTTCTGAAACTTTATTTGAGGAATATTAGCTGATTTAAAGTATAATTAATCTAATCTGAAAAAATTAAGTTTAAAATAACACAAATGTATTTTTAAAACAAAACAGTAGTTGTTTTCTAACCAACATCGCCATATTTTATGTAAGTGACAAGGCATTGACAAGTCTTGACATAATGATTGTTGTTCTATGGAGAATTTATCTAAAACATAATTTAAGAAAATGATATGAGCACCTTTTTTATATAATTTTTAAGTACTCAGTAATCTTAAAAATGTTGGAAAATATTCTCTGTAATCTAATTTTAGGAATGTTGATTTTAAATTTATGATAGCCATCACTCTTATTTTCAGATAATGTTGTTTGGTCGACCATACTTTCAAAAATGGGCATGTTGTGTAATATTTTATATACATAAAAAAATTTTTTTTTAAATCTTGGTACAAAATGATTTGCATTAAGCTTTTCAATTTTTGATTAGTAAATATAGTTATTACTTAATAACACTTAATAACAATATCACCTAACTGGATGAAAGTAATGCAGAATTTTAAAAGATTTATATATTATAAATTATTATAAGTAAACAAAAAAAAAAAAAAAAAATAATTCTTGTAAAAATTTGTTATTCAGTTAAAATGACAGCAATAATTGTAAAGTAGCAAAAGATTTTGAAGACTATGCTTGTCATCCTTGTACTTCTTCACTCTATACAATGTTATTGTTTAGAAATTAAATCTAGAATTGCTGTCATTGTTACCAATTGGTATTACTTACTTGTTTAGCTCTGAGTTTATTCTTGCAGTTGAGTAATTGTTGCTTGCCCGATTTCAGCTCAGGAAGGAGGACCTTTTCATCAGTTTCAAGTGTCTCTGACTCTTTGCTCATCTCATCCATCTTTGCTTTGGCTCTTTTTAATTTAGCCTGAATAATATTTGATAACAAAAAATGATAATTCTAATCAGCACAAAACACAGGAAGTATAACTGCATTTTCAAGTATAAAAAAGGAGGGGGGACAGTAAATACTTAAAAAATATCATGTAGTCAAACTATATTTTTATAGTATAATTATCAATTCTGATAACTTTATTACTCTTTTTAGAAGAAAATAATTTAAAAAATCTTCTTGGATTTTCAATCAGATGTTATTTCAAATAACTTGAAATATTAATGAAGTAATAGATTTTATAAAAATTTTTTAAAAGAGCAAACTTGAATAATTTTGAGTGGTTGAGTTATTTTCATATTTAACTGCAAAAAAAGAAAAGAAAAAAGGCAAATGTAGAGTTCTAGAATTTGTTTCAATGTTGCTAGGCCCAATAATTTAATATTTTAAGGAGATGGAGCCGTACCTTTTCCAAATGTATTTACATGCAAGTGAATGTAACCAACTTGACAGTCAATCTTGGCACTCTGATTTCTCATTCAGGGCCACTATTCATTACAGCACCTATGTTAAACACCCAACTTAAAATATTATCAATATATCATTTAATCTTCTTGAGTGCTTTTTTTTCTGGCTTTTATAGGATAAAAGAAAAAAGGTTTTTATTTTAAAAAATCAAATTAAAAGTTCAATATTAAAAAATTCATTTCTATGTTTCAAAAATTCAAATATGCAAAAATTTCATTTTATTTTCAGTAAGCAAATAAAACTGCTTATAATTCACACAAATATTATGAGTAAAACCAGAAAATCCTTGTAGTTACTTGATAGATGTATTCAGAAAGCTACTTGATTAATCATGAAAATTTGTCTTGCCATTCACTCAATATCAAGGAAAAATGTTTTGGTGGGTTTAAGTTTTCATACACTCTAAGGCAAGGTTTTTAAAACTGTGGGTTCACAACCCTTCAGTAGGTTGCAACAAAAAAAGAAACGATTATGTTTCCAACACTGTTACAACAAATTGAAAGGAACACTGTCATCGATGACATATTGAAAGTATTAAAATAAGATCTCATTTTTCTGTTTTAAAGTTTTAATAACTATTTCCCTGAAGAGAAATTTGAACCAGTGAAGAAAAGCCTTTGGATAAAATATCCATTTGCTTTTCAAATTCCTGAATTAATAACCGAGTTAAACTGAAGAGGAAGCTGAATTAGTTGTTTCTTCACACTTAAGAATGATTTTGAGAAATTAAATTTGTGCTCATTTTGGGTTAAGAACAGAGGGGAATTTCCACTACTGAGTAAAAACGTTATTTTATTGACTTTTACAACTACTTGAGTGAACTGAGATTTTCCACATTCACTCAATTTAAGATGAAGGACAGAAATAGGTTCAACACTGCAACTGATATGTGTGTAGCATTGTCTTCTTGTGTTCCTAATTGGAATCAGCTGCTTATGAACAAATAAGCAAGTCCATCTCATTAAATGGCTTTTTTTTTTTTTTTAAAATATTATTTACTTTACCTTTGTGTTTTCTTAAAAGTAATAATTTTATATTCATACAAATAGATAATACAAATTGATACATGCAATTCCAATATATGCGAATCATAAGAAATATATAAATTGTTGATGTTAAATAAATGAACTTAGTGAACAGAGTTTGTCTTTGATTTTTTTACATAGATATAATGGCTCGCAAAGCAAAATGTGGTTTTTGTTGTGTGTCGCAATGAAAAAAAAAAGGGGGGTGAAAAACGTTGCCCTAAGGTACTAAATAGAGGGTTAAGGGGAAATAACATCGAAGTTTTTAAATTCAGGGGGAGTAATTGTTCTTGTCACAATTGCAAACTCACCGTGCTTTCCACAACCATACGTTCAAACTTTGGCATTCGGGCTTCTTCGGCTTTTTTTGCATTCAAATGTGGTTGCAAAGACTGAAAATTATCAAAAACTCATATAAAACAAGGGTAAAATTTTCTCAAATTTGATTATCCAAGAATTTTGTTCAGGTGAATAAATAAAGAATAAAAGATACTGGAAAATCTTTCATGACAAGAATTCTGCAAAGACCCAAATAAATGTTAAAGATACAAATATCCAGTAAATAAGGCCGATGAGTGAAAACTTGCAAGGGAAGTTCTAATGATGTTTCCTTAGTCACAAAATACGAAAAAAAAAAAAAAATAAAAATGTAGTTTTACATCACAATGAAATATGGCATTTCTATTAATTAATTTGGAATGCTTTTCATCACTTGCTGCCTCCACTTGGTCTAATAACTATGAATAGAGCATTTTTTTTAAGAATTCATAATAGAAAATTCTTTTCCAATCTCGCCACAAACAAAGCATCATCTTAAAAACAGTCTTTGGTTAATAGTAATTTGTTTTGTTTGCTCCATAATCTTGTGTTCCAAATTCTTATAAAATATCCACTTTCACAATGTTTGTAACAAATTGTCTTATAAAAAGGAGATTTATATATAATTTCATAGGTTGTTTTTTTCTTTCCCCACTTCATGGAAGCCACATGGAGCAGTCATGAGAATCAAATGAATTAAGTGTTTAATGCAACAGTGCATGCATGAGCAGACACTATTCTTGGGCTATATTAACTTTGCAATTTCTGATTAAAGTAAATTTTACAAGCTTAAGTTAGAAATTGTTTAATAACTGTTCCTTTGCAGTATAACAAAAAAGAAGCAAGAAGCAACATTATAAAACTAAGGAGAAGCAAAGAAGAAAAAGGAGAATTAAGAGAAATCAACATTATAGAAGTAATAAGTGTGAAGAAGAAAAGAGGATTAAGAAGAAGCAATATTATAAAATCAGTAATTGTGAAGAAGAAAAAAGAAAAATTTATTACAAACTTTTAAATGTGCAAATATGCTCTATAAAAAATTATTGAAGTCTATTTTAAAAAATAATAGCATATGACCAAATGTGAGTAAACGGTTTGAATATTATTTGTTCAGTCATATGAAATAATATGTATGTCCCCTTTTTTTTTGTTACAATAAAATTTTTATATCTGTGAACCCTTTTCTTTCTTTCTTGCAAGAGTGTATCAAGAAAAATCAAAGAGCATTTCCCTGTTCCTATAAGATGATATTTTTTTTTCCTACTCTTACAAACTCCCTCCCTTTTAAAAATTATTTTTTCATTTTGTATATCAGTTTCATTTATAGTGGATAAAGAAAATTTTAAACAGGCCTTTTTTGGTATTCACAGATTTGAATTTTTTATTGTTGACACTGGCATGCATGTTCTAGCCTTAAAACTTTTTAAACTGATATTTTTTAACCTTGTCTACAAATACTTGTTTTAGTTTTTAATTTTGTATTTTAAATAAACATTAGAAATGGAGTTATCGCCTACAGTTAATCTTTTAAAGAAAAGAAATTTTTTAAAAGAGAACATTTAACACATTTTCAATATATTAAATCTGAAGAAAATGAACTTTGTAAAATTTTTTTTATTCAAAAGAAGAGAGTTAAGGAATTATCAAATTCTGTAGATCTTATTATGAGTAAATTATTAATTGTTATCTTGAGAATGAAGTAGAAGTCAACATTCAACAGCATAAGGTGGAAACTTTATTTTATGCCAGTGTTACTAAATTTTTTAGCTACTGCAATGAAGAAAAGGGAAGAAATGAACACAATTTCTCCTATGTCTAGTAATTCAGATTTGTTTTATCATTCTAATGTTGCTCCTAAACTAAAATGTCCTGTATTCAATCCTGAAAGTTAGTTTCAGGATAAATTGTCATATCTGAATTTTTACAAAGAATCTGAAAATTGCATTCTTGGTATTAAAAATAAGTATATGTGGTTTATTATTCTAAAAAATCATGTAAGATGATATGCTCAGAAAATCATAAGACATCTTTCCATTTTTATAACATCAACTTCCATGAAGAGGGACAGAAGATTCAAAGACAATAGAAAATCTGCCACTGTCTACCAAAGATGTGCGTGGATACATTTGAAGAGATTTGGAGGATCTGCAGTCTATACAACATCAAGATAGTATTCAAAAGTAGTTTTACCATTTGGCTATATCTCATCAAAACCAAATCTTTCTGAAAACAAAAAATGACCAAGAAATTTGTATGTTCCATGTCATGCAGTTGTGGCAAGGAATACTAGGATAAAACCAACTGCCCCCTGAAAGTGAGAGTGAGGAACATTGAAAGATGTAATCAAAGGAGAGACATTGAAATCAAGCATGGCTGTTCATGTGTAGAGATAAAAAAAAAAACGTGATCATCAATCTCTGTGGAATAAAGTCAAACAGAGAACAACATTGGATGATAAGACAACTGAAAGACTTAACAGATATGTTAAGCTCTGACAACTGTTTAGTTTTCGGGTTGCCTTATGACAAGACGAGAAAAGCTATGCATGAGTTTATTCCATGACAATTAACTGTAGAAGAGAGTTATTATTAGCAACTAAGGGAGTTAACTGCTCCTACTTCTGAAGAGTTCTATAAAGGGAGATTACTAGGTAATATAATATTTCCCTTTCTTTATTCAAAATTTGTTGGTCAGTACTTAGTCCTTAGTTCAGCTTGCATTGCAATGGAATACCTGAAAGAAAGACTGTTTTTGTTTCAGAGGTTTAATCTCTTGGGGACACTTTTGATAAGCAATCTGCAATGGGGACTGTTTTTGCCTGGGCAATACTTTATTATGAACTTTATTCAACTTTTAGTAGCATTCTTGATAGGCTTGGTGGTGCATGTGCCAAGTTCTTCAATGCTATTAACTCTAGTAGTTTGTGGTTGGGATGTACTGTCACCCTGTGTCCCCATACATAGTGATGGAATCTTTCTAATCCAAACAACAGCTAACATTTCTCTCTATGTTGGAGTATTGGGTTTCTGGTCCTGTTAGTGGTGAATGTTACGGGTATTTGGTGCTGTAGCAGTACTGCTCCTAAACCTGCAGTTGAGGCATCGGCCTGCAGCGTTATGGGTGTCTTTGGATTGAAGTAGCTTAACACTGTGATTTTACTAATCTCCTTTTTGACGCATGCACATGTGAAGTGGCCAATTATCTTGCACGTTTTACCCTTTGTTGAGCATTGTCCTGTCCCGTGGTCTGTACCACAGTATCTGTTTTTCTTGTACTTTTGTTTATAATTGCATGCGTGGTTGTTGTTTCTGTCAGAGCACAAATAGTTTCCATTTGTCCGGTTGCAACTTTGTCCATTTCCTATACTTTTATAATCAGTGATTCAGACTGACAAGTAAAATCCAGAGCGTTTAGAGATTAGCACCTGTGTGCTGGGATTGCGTGGGGTAAATTGCAATGGAGTTGTGGGAGTGACCTCCGACTGCTCTCCAGTCTATTAGTGTTTTGTTTCTTGTCATGTTTTGTTCTTTGAATGTCTTTTGTTTCTGATTGATTTGGTTTCCTTAGATTTTCTATTAGGTACTTTTGACAATCTTTCTTTGGATGATGACCGTTCCCTTATTTGAGATGGGATAGAGTTTTGTTCATCTATGCCCATTTTGCTTGGTTCTTCAATGATATACTGGGTTGTGTTATTTTTTATGCACCTTTTGATTCTCTTGTGAATGTTTAAAGGGTTATATTTCTTAAAGGATTTTTGTACTTTGGATTGTGATTTTTGGAGTTGTTTTGTACATATAGATTCTTTTTTGTTTGAGATTGATGGGATGTGATTTGTTATGAGTTTGATTTATGTATGAGATACTATATTTTAGTAGTTCTATTAGACTTTTTAATTCATTTATTAGACTTGTAAGATCTTGGCTTCTTATTGCATTGATCTCTTGGATGTCATTTTGTTGATTTGATATTTTAGTGATATTTATATATGATGTTGAAATATAATATGATAATATATTAATATGATTTGACCTGTTTTCTGGCTTCTTGAAAGAAGATGTTTTACATGTATTTTATTCTTATTATTTCCTTTTCCCAGATGTTACACTCTTTAGAGTCTGCTGAGTGTTTTTTTTTACAGTTTGGACGTAATAGGAGGAGGTCTTTTATAGGGTGACTCTTCATGATCTGATTCAAGTTCCCCACATCTTCAACACACTGATGCTCTCGTACAAAGATTTTGTAGATGATGAAATTTCTGCCATTTGTGATATGTAAGGGGATTAGGAATGTATGGCTCTACTATGACTATTGAGTATCCTACCTTTATTTCTTTAGGTATTAATTCTGATTACACCTAAAATATTTACAATTTATAAAGTATATTTATTTTGCTTAATTATTTTTTCTTTATAATACTATGAATTTGCAAAAAAAGAAAAAAAAAAAAAAAATGGCTATTTCTTTTAAGCATCAAATATCATTAAACACTTCCTTTATCTGCATTGATAAAATACATTGTATAAAAAACAAAAATATCAGTCAAGGCAATATTATCTGTTATTTGTTTCAACAGAAACTATTTCTTTTTAATTGATGGTTATTTATTTTTCTATTTAATTTTTTTCAGAAACATACCAAGAAAAGATAATATAAATTCATAAACTACGATTTAAACTTTTCAATAACATTGAATTATTTTATTTTATTATCTTTAGTCTATTATATCATCTTATGCATATGTGTAACAGTTTCATTAAACCAAATGAGAGTAAGCAATGAAGAAGCATAAAAATACAATGCATTAATATTTTAAAATCAAAGGATGGAATATCAGCAGATTATTTCTTACAAAACAAACTTACTGCTTCTTTTTCTATCACCAAAGACCATGCCATCTCTGACTTGAGGTTCTTTATCTTTTCTTTCTGATTTTCCAAGGCAGAAAAAGCTTTGTACTTTTTTTCCCATTCTTTGACTTCTGATTCGAGAGCAGGAAAAGACTGAAAAGAAAGCGAGACAGTCGATAATTAATCTTTTAAGTAACAGCAGATAAAAATTAAGTCCTGTCAATATGCGATTATGCAGTAAAATTGAACAAAACACTTCAGGCCTACTTATTATACACATACCATGTATTTTCAAGTACTATTGATTGATTGATAGCAATGTAAAAAAATGTTAAATGTGGATTAAAGCATTGGTTGATGAATTTGGTGACATAGTAATCATGAGTTTAAACCCTGGGTCAGATGATACCAACTTGGCCTCTGTGCAAATAACTGAGCTGTAGTAAAAAGAACAAGATGAGATAGCCCTAGACATGGACAGTGAAATGAGAACAATCTACCCACATAGATTAAATAATGGTTCAGTTGAAGGTTATCCTGAGCAACAGACTCTTGAAGAAGATAGAGACATTGTGATAACAACAAAGATGAAGACAATAGTTTGTATATAAATGATGTAATAGTGAACAAAACATTTTCATCAATTCATAGCTGAATTAAAACATTAACCTATTGAACTTGTAACTGTAGAATAGATTGATAAAAAAGTAAATATGAATAAAGTGGTGTCATCAAATTTTGCTAAGATGAAAAAGATGACATGAGACTACAGGACTTGTACTAGCAGTCATACAAACTAAGGTGGGAATGCTACAAAAGTAATGCCGCCTGTTGATTTGGAAAAATATGATAGATTTACAATACTGTTGGATAGAGTAAGTTATCAGTTATAAAACAATATTTTTTGACAGGAAAAAGACATTGTCAGGAAAATATTCTCCCTACTGTTGCCATTGCTGAAAAATATTACCCACTACCTAACTGTGCTCGAATCTCTTGTTTAGTCTCCATAAATAATAAGCAAACATAGACTTCAATGAGTGTAATTTTTTCCTCATGGAGGAATTCAATGGAACACCCCTGCTTCATGCCTATTTTCATGTTGGATGCTATCTTGCCAGACTACCACTCAGCTACTATCTGTAAATTTATTAAACTTTCTTGCTTTGAAAACAAAAAAAAAAAAAAAAGTAGCAAGAATTCTTTGAGATGTTAATTGACAAGTGTTGAAAATATTTAAAAAATTATTTTTTGATTGGTTCACAATATATTACTATTGTAAAAACTCAATATCACAAACTAAACAAATAAATTGGTCACCAACATGAAGTGGAATGATTATATTGAATAAATTCCAAGCTCAGTTTCCAGGAAAGTTGATTCACTGTGTTTTGCTCAACAATTTTTCTCACCAGAATCTGTCTTGTACATATGTGTACTATTTATCTATGCATCAAATATTGTTGTTACATCCGGCCTGGTGCTTCTGCTATATATCTAGAGATTCTTGACAGAATACAAAGAATCGTTAACGTTATCAGTCCTAAACTGGGACCACGCCTTCAGTTGCTCTTCTCATGACATAATGTAGCTTCCATTTGCCTTTTCTATAAATATTTTCAAGGTAATTCTTCTGATGTGCTTTTCTCTCTGGTACCTTGACTTTACAAATTTAAGTATAGTACTAGACTGGCAGCTAAGTCACAGAATTTCATTGTTGAAATTGCTAGTTACAACCATATGCTAACAGTTTCTTCTCTTGCACTTCTTAATTGTGGAACTCTCTTCTGTCTTTCCTGTTAACTACAATCTTCAAAAATTTAAATGAAATGTCAATTGATACCATTTGTCTCCTTTAATACCCTATCTGTTTCTTTCATTCTCAGTGACCCTATACATCTTAGTGGCTTTTATTACCTTGCTTGGAGCAAAATGAGTAAAAGAAAAAAAAGTCATTTGAAATTGAAATATTTATCATTTCTAGCAATTTAAAAAACTAATATACCAATACAACATCCATCATATTACAAGCAGAAGGTGGGTGGCATAACAAGAACAGCTTTACTGCTGTTGGTCACCAGATCTTGAAGAACAGAGAAATAAGTGAGATACGCTTATAGTTATTTTAGAGGACTAAAATCAGAATTTGTCTGATTGACTCTTTTTAGTGGATAAAGCAAAATTCCACCAGAGATTAATTATGTCACAAAAATTCAGAGAGTATTCTTAAAGACATCCTTAATCAGAATCAACCAATTCATCATTACTAACCTCAGAATGAAAATGAATGTTTCTTATGTTTTTAATTATGGCTCTAAACTAATCTGCAAAAATTGTTGAGATGGTTAATCTGTAAATGATAAATCTTAAAATATTAACAGCTCCAGTTTCAGCATCTGTGTGTCTATAAGATCAAAGGATAAAAATGTTAATGATTCCTTTGATGGTAACTGAACTCTCTGAAAAAATACCTAACTAGTTCTGGGAGCACCACACTAATCTAGACTTTATGAATTTAAGCACAGTACTAGATTGGCAACAAAGTCTCCTCATTTTACAGTTAAACTGGATAGATGTAACTGTAAGTTCTTTGCTAACAGTTTCTTTTTTTGCACTTCTTGCCTGTGGAATTCTTCTGCTCTTCAAAATTTAAATGCAATATCAATCGTTATCTACTGTTGTCATCATTCCTCTTTTTATATTGTTTCAGTTCCTTAATAATGTTTTTGTTTTCTTATACATTCACACTCAGTAATCCTTTGTGTTTTAGAGACCTTATTGACATGCTTGGAGTGAAATGGAGAAAAAAAAAAGAAAAAAAAACTCACAAAAAGGTGAGTCATTTCTCTTCCCATTGAACCAAATCAAATTTTTACTAGAAAGACAAATACTATACTATACCAAAGATGTCAAGTAAGTAAAATTACCTAAAATTCAAAAGTTGGAAAAAAAAGAAAAAGAAAAATATAACAGAATTAAGATTACTTAGAAGGGGACTAGTAGTTGCAAAAGTTATTGATTATAAGTGGTTAGATCATCTCACACTTTATGATGCTATGTTAACAACACCTTATTGGAAAGGTGAGAATATGCTCAGGAGAGATTTGTATTTATGCTTTGCTCAAAATAGACAATAATAAGCAATCAAATATTTACTTTTTTTAACAAATCTATAAGAAATAATCTTTTGTTGAGACAATCTTACTATGGATTTCATAAACTAAGAGAGAAGGGTGGGAAAGTTTAACATTTAAAAAAAGTTTGTATAATCTCAAAATATCAACTATCTTAAAATTAGCAATCTACAGCTTTACTCCATCTGCTCTACTCTCCCAACCTTGCCCTACCACCTTTTCAATACACAACAGCATTTCCTAGACAGGGAAATGACATACCAATTATAAAAAAAGTTAAATAAAGAATTTTATGACTGCTAGGAGTATGTCATAAGTATTAACTTGATTTAATTTTTAACTAATTATTAAATATCTCTTAATAGAAAATGCAATACAGTTTTCTTTCCAGCTTAATACTATTTCACAGGCAAGTTATTTGATATGAAGGTGACTGTTTTGGAATACCAAAGTGCTGGATGTGCAGGTGGTGTAATAGATAACAGCTTGGAATTAGAAATCAGAGTAGAGCTCCAAATCCACTTGGGTTTGTTATATTCACTTACACATAAATAGCCTTGAGAAAGGTATGAATCTACCTTCATCTTTGGGTTAATTAGTTGGACTTTTATTGGTAAATCATTACAATGTAAAAATATTTTCTGATTTTAAATAACCTGAAAAGGTTGATAAACTGTAACAAAATCAATCAATCAATCACTCATGTGGTATCAAGTCACAGAAAATAAATTAACCATTCATTCAAGAAAACAATCTCTAAAAATATAATTTTTTTAAACATAAAAATCTGTTACAGAAGATTTTTGTATTAAATTAGAAAAGAAAAGAGGTAAATTTTGTTCTCTTATTAAATACAAACTTTTTAGTAAAATACTTCTTTTTATGAGAAAGCAAACTTTACAAAAGGCTTGTGCTGAAAATAACTTATGGTTTCATAATTTATCAATAATAAATATGATTCTGAACTGACCTCTTCCTTCTTTGATAAAATCTCTTTAGCAGAGTTTTTTTGTAATTTCACTTCAGCATAGTCAGCCTGGATTTGACCAAGCTGAGTAGCTTGCAAGAAAAAAAAAAAAAAAAAAAAAAAAAAAAAAGAGGAAAATATATTTATAGTATATCAACCCTAATGTGATTAATAGAAAAACAATAACTAGCAATTTACTTTCTTCTTCAGTTCAATAAACTTTTTGCGTTCACAAAAGTATGAGATGTCAATGTAAATAATACAGTTGCATAATTACATGTAAAATCTGGGATAACTGGAAAAAAATTTCTTTGATAAATAAAAACCTTGCCAACTTTTAAGAAAGAATAAGTGAATCTGAAAGTGAAAATTTGTCACAGATTTCTGCTTACTCGGTATTTGTCTGTTGGATTTTTGGAATGTAGAAAATTACGGCTAACTTCTTGATTGAGGATAACAACAGGATTGTCAACTAAAATGTTGAAATAATCCAATATATTCCGCAGCTCTTCTCTTTTAGTGGAAACAACTTGTCCTGGAAATAATAAAATACAACAACTATTAAAGAATTAATGATGAACTTGTCCTGATATAAACTAAATTGTTGAAAAAAATAGAGACAGTAATAAAGTGGATGAATGGGTAATGTAATAGTTATTGATGTGGAAAGTAGAACCAGTAAGACAAATTCAAATTCTTGTATAGCCTCTTGCATTCACTTTCACACAAATAACCTTGGAAGAGGCATGAATTTATCTCTTCTTTCCTTCCAACAAAGGGCTAGATAGCAGGATAGACATTTTAGCCTTGAAAGGTAGCCAATCTAGAAAGACCACAAGGGGAACCCCAGTATCTTTCCCAAGTCATGGTAATTTACAGATAATAAACAAAAGCAATCTGTGGAGAGTCATGACTGTATATGTCTTCACATAGAATTAAAAAAAAAAAAAAAAAAAGCTCCATTGGAAGATTTAATCAACCACTATTGACCACCATATAGAAAGGGATTCAGCCAGATGATATATGTGTGTTGTACGAGGTAAAGAAGTAGTGTAGCTGTAATAGTTATGGGATGTGGATAGATTTTAATGATTTGACTAGGGAATGATTGTTGGGGCCAAATAGACGAGACATTGTTTCCAAGATAGCAATTATCCTATCAGTGAGAGTACCAAGAATATGTGAATTTTGATTAGATGTCAATGGTACATGGAAACTGGAGGTCTCCATAGCTGCAGTAAGAATGGGATTGCTGGGAAAGGACAAAGATTTTAATTACTCAACCAGGTGGAACATAGCATGAAATCTTATCCCAAATCTGATGTTGCTAAACATATCAGCTGATGCACTTTACAGCATACACTGCATACCATGTGGTTTTGTAGTTGCTAACCAAAGAGTACCATTACTAATATCACGCTATTGATTACTGTCCATCCTCAGTGGAGTGAGGAAGATTGCCACTGTGTTACGTTTTTAAGTCTTTCAAGTGATGGTCAAGTTCATGTGCAGAGAAAACTGCACAATTTTAGATGGACAGCGGATGTGTTGTGAAAACTGGTGGTGGACTCTATAGTGGTGTGTTCTGTTGGAGTTTGGAAGTGCTGTGAATGGAAAATGTAGATTTGCAGTGACAGCAAAATAATACAATTCCCACATCAACAACAAGGAAATATATATATATATATATATATATATATATGCTAAAATATAGTTTTAAGGTATGCTATATTTATGGGCTAAAGTGCTTAATATCTGGGCATGTAAATATAAAAGTACATACATACTCACATATATATATATATATATATATATATATATATATATATATATATATATATAGAACATACTGCAGATCTCACTAAATTCCTTGCAACTGCACCTAATCAACAGTGTGTTTGAATATGGAGATATCCATGCAATGACTCATATCTTGTTGCTTAACTGACATAATTCATTTGAAGGACAGAGCTATATAATTTAGTATTTCAGTTCACTCATATACAGATATACCTATGAATGAAATCACCAACAATATATGTATAAAATATAGAGTACTACTAGCCAAGTGTTGTCAAAAGGCTATGACAGAATCTCTTCAAGTAATCATGTAGCCTAGAGTTTAGGTACTGTCTGGTTTGGGGCATAATACTAATTTCACTACATTAGCCAATGTTTTATGCCCATGGACATTTGCAAGTTTGACACTAATATCAAAATTTCCAGCTAAAATATATGCAGTTAAATCTCTATAAAAAGGACTGTTTACCTAATTTATACAAAGTAAAAATATTTGCATTTTAATTTTTTCTTCTTTTTTTACAGCTGTTAAAAAATTTATCTATGAAAAATGTACAGAAATGGCATTTGAAAACTATGCAGAAATTTAACCAATAATTGAAGTTTAATAAAACAATTATTGCATCAATAACTAAATTTATTTACTGAATAAAGTCCTTGAAAAATAAACACAGGAAATAACATCCCTAACACAATTAAATGGTCTGAAAAATGCATCTGCTGTAAAATGCTGCAACAGAAGAAAACAATATGATGAAGATAATATTATATATATATATATATATATATATATATATATATATATATATATATATATATATATATATATACATACATACACACACACACTGTATATACGAGTATATAAACTAGCTTTAAGTATAGTGCAACTCCTGAATTTATTTTGGCATGAATTTTAACCCCTTGAGAAAAATTTACCTATGTATAGTGCAACCATCACTGAAAATGCCTTCTTTTTTTTTACCTCTTCAAAAAAATTACCTGCGTTTTGTGAAATCTGATCATAAAAACTTGCAGTATACTCAAGTATATACAGTACTTCATTTTGTAAATGAAAATGAATTGAAGAAAAAAGTGCACCAAAGCAGTTAATGAAGAAACTTCTTCAAAAACTTTAAAATTTCAGGTATTTGCCATTCAAGATTATAAATTCAAAAATTGAAAGTTATTTTAAAAAAAATTATTTAAACTTAACAATTAACTGTTATATTAATGAAGTACTGTAGAATTTCCATAAACTCAAGTGAAGAGAAAAGACAGTAGAGTAACTGGGTAGATTTAATGTGCAACTTGGATGGCATTATTTTAGTTGTGAGAAACATTCTTTATTTTATTTTTTTACAAAATGTTAGTTATTGATATCAGTAGAAAAAAAATAAATGAAATAAAAAAGAAATGAAAATTGTAATATTTTTCAAGAACTACTCACCAGAAGAAGATTTAATACGATAACTACTGGCACCATCTTTTGAAAACTTGCGTTCAATGACAATACGGTTCCCATAATTTTCAGGTTTATAGGCATCAGGACCCTCGTTACTCAAGTGGATGATTATTTCCGCCGACCTTAAGACATACACACAAAAAAGAGTCAACTCAGAGCAATTCAATGAGATTGGTAAAAAAGCTGTCATTTAATTAAATTTTTTTTGAAAGACTTTTTGGCTCATCTTGTGCAAACAAAATTTAAAAAAATGTTATGTAGTATTTTTTTTCATACACCATTCTTAAATCTCTTCTTGACAAGACATAACATTTAAAATGAATAGGAAACTTTGCCTTCAATATTTTCTCTTTTCCAATCACTACTGCCCTACTCAGTTTTTCATGCGAGAACATTCATAAAAATGTGTTAGAGTTTGCCATTTCTCAAAAACACAGTCAGTTATCAAGATCAGAAGTAGTATTATCCAATAAAACTCGAGAAAGCACAGTAGACAATGTGACCATATCAAATGAATCAAGTGAGTAGATTTGGACAATCCTACAACTACAAGGCTACATACAACAACCTAAATAAAGCAATGTGTTCATGACATTCCTCATTTGGAAGATGCCTCATTTCAATATAACAGAGAAAGAAGACAATCATTCTTTTGTTGGAAGTCATCTTGAAGAGAACAGCAAACTTACAAATAAAACAGTCATATTGTTCTAACAGTCATTTCCCTAATGGGAAGACAATGATATTGAATGACAGTAAATGTTCTATGCTGGATATAGAACATTTACTGTCACTAAGATGGTTGTTTAAAACATTCTAAGCCTCACCCAGAAAGAAAAACCATAGATGAACATTTTTCTTGTGGCAACACACTACTTATTATAAAACTAGACACTAGAAAATGTAATTCAGATTTTTGTCGTAATTTCTGTGCAGGTGAGGTCCATACTAAGGTGAGAGGTGTGTGACAAATAAAAAAATGGACAAAACAGAGGTTCGAGCAGTCATAAAGTATCTGCAAAAGAAATGTATGGCACCCAAGGAAATTCATGAGGACATGGTAGAGACACTTGCTGAGGACTTCCCTTCCTGTGCCAATGTGAAGTGGGCTGTGAAATCCAAGTGGAATAGGAACATCACAGAATATGATCCTCGGTCAGGTCATTCAAAAACTTCAACCACTGATGAACAAGTTGATGCCATTGACCATATGGTTTTGGATGACAGACGTCTTACTGTCCAGCAGAAAGCGAAGTCTATAGGCATTAGTTCTGGTTTGGTCTATACTGTTTTAACCAAAATCTTGGGGATGACCAAACTATCTGTAAGATGGGTTCCAGGAATGGTGACACCAGAGTAGAAGCTGAAAAGGGATGACATTTCCAGGACACTTCTGACTCACTTCCAAACTGACAAGAATTTCCACCACAGATTAGTAACTAAAGATAAAACCTGGGTTCACCACTTCAAACCTCAAAGCAAACAGTAGAAACACTTTGGTTCTCCATTCCTGAAGAATTTCATGCAGGCAGTGTAAGTGTAATCATGATAAAATGTCTGGAATAGGGAAAAACTATTAATGGTCAGTACTATGCATCAGAATTAAAACAACTGAAGGAAGCAAGCTTCATCTGACTTCTTCCAGTTTCCTAATCTCAAATCCCACCTGCTGTGTGGTCATCATCTGGGAAACAATGATGAGATCATATATGCCGTGGAGAAGCTTTTGGAGGACCAGGAAGACACTTTCTTCTGTGATGGGATTGCAATGCTTAAGTGTCGGTGGACCAAATGCATTGATGTCAAGAGAGACTATATTGAAAAATATTTTTTTGGTGGATCTTCTATTATTATAGTGTGGGATATTTAATGATAAAAGTGAAAAAAACAAAACAAAACTAAATGAAATTAATGAGGCTATATATGCAGACACATCTAAAAATTATTTTTAATTTGAAACAATAGAGCATCCAGTCAAGTGTAAAGTTACTTGAAGAACCAGTTTTCTAATCACTGGATAATAATAAACATTCCAAATAAATATATATGAACAAAGAGTTTGAAATGCCTTACTGTTTTCCACTTTTGATGAATCCTTTTACTGTACTGCCACGACTTGTGGTTGATGCTTTTCCTCCAAGACCTAAGATAATGGCTGTCACCACTGCACTCTTGCCACCTGCAAAAATAAAAATCATACAAAGACTATGAAATGATTTTACATTAAAAGGACCAAATATGAGAAGAAAAGAAAAACATTTTCCATTCTTTTTTTATCAGTATAATCAACAATACAAAGATTATGAAAATCCCATCATATTCTCTAAGAAGTCTGTGCCAAGATGATCATCTACAATATCAATTTGTACCACCAATATTATTTAATTATATATGTTTATATTTTAATCATTAGTGATATGCTATCCTGGGTATGACGATAAACTACATCCAGCAACGAGGCCTCTGATCAAGAGGTTTTGAGGAGCATGGAACCACTTCTTAATTGCTGTTGTTCTCAGATCCACCAACCTAGAGTGGTAGTACCCGTTAGGGTCCCAGCTATGGGCAAATAGTAAATCCCCAAACTGTGGTCAAAACACTATGAAAATATAAAAATTTATAGTAAAAATTACCAGCAATACATTTTTGGAAATGAAATTACTAATGCTCTCAAGAAAATTAAATTTCGGCATTAAACGACCCATAAGGAGTTGATATGCCACTAAACAAAACAAAAATTATTGATATGATATTTATTTAATCACGTTATCCATACTCATTTAATTCTGCATTAAAAAATTCCAAGAAAAAACAACACAAAGTTTGCTTTCAGCAGAAAAAAATAAACAAATAAAAGTACAATGCAAAAATAATGATTCTCATCTCCAAATGATAATCAATGGACTACAAGTTTAAAACAATAATATCACCTTTGTTAGTTTATTATAATTATGTTAATGCTTTCTATTTCAAAAAGGACCTCTAATCTGTTGTTGACTAGGGCAAGAAATGGCTGGTTAACTTTAATGCCTCAAAAACAAAACTGCTCTCTTTTACCCATTACCGTGAGCCTTCCCTTCCTCCCATTAGAATGTCTGATGCTCAACTCCCCGAGAGCACCTCTCTGCAACTGCTTGGTCTCAGACTGCCTGCTGACCCGAGATGGAACAAATACATTGAATCAATAGCTTTATCTACCGCAAGGAAAGTTGGTTCTCTGTGTTGCACCAGAAAGTTTTTTTCACCAGAGTTCATCCTTCAAATCTATAAATCATTCTTGCATAGAATACTGCTGTCATATATTGTCTGGAGTCCCTGCTGTTCATCTTTAAGGTCCTTGACAAAATCCAGAGACAGATATGGAATGCGACTATTAGCCCTGATCTGGCATCTTGTTTACAGTCACTCTCTCACAGACATGCTGTCGCTTCCCTCTGTCTTTTCTACAAATACTTTCATGATAACTGCTCTGACGAGCTACTTTTGCTAGTTCCCAAACTGCATGAATTTAAATGTGCTACTAGGTTGGCATCTCAGTCCCACCCTTTCACTGTCAAAACGGTTAAATATAGCCGTCTCTTTTACTCCATTAGCTTCATGACTCGTACTTTCTGTCTGTGGAACTTCCTTCCTCTTACTTGCTTCCCTGATAGCTATAATCTTCAACTAAACAAATGTAATGTCAATCAACATCTCCAGATGCCTTGGTATAATTCTCCGTCCTTCTCTTCATCCTTTCCTCTATCACACTTCTTTACTCTTGCTCCCACTCTCTGTAAACCCCATGCGTGCTAGTGGCACTCCTGCCTTGCTTGGGATGAAATGCTTTAAAAAAAATTTTTTTTTTGTTTCAAACAAATTTTATGACTCACATTTGCAGAATAATACAAACAAAAAAAATTCACAAATTTTCTCAGACTGACCGGATAAAGCCAGAATAAATTTTGGTTGGCTATGATTCAAAACTGAATAAATATGTCCAATGTCTAGTAGAATTGGCTACAATTCCAGTTTGAATATATGGCCAATGTCCAGCTGTTAGATCATACTAACTAGTCTCTTTGTACTAAAGTGTAGGATACAAAATTTGCCATGCTGATCATTACTACAGGGTGGTTCGAAAGTCTTGTTACCCTGACATAATTTTCTATTTCAGGTGGCTGACACAAAAATGATGGTATTCATACAGACCTGTGTGTGACAGCGTCAATGAAAGTGAATAAACTGAATCCAGTACATGTGATTTGTATTACTTGTTCTTCTATTGTTCTCATAACTTTTTGTTTGGGGGGGGGACAAGACTTTCGGACCCACCGTGTACTAGGCACAGCTAAACTTAGTGCAAATATTAAAAATCTAGTTTCACATACTAATTTACTGTGACCAATTGAACTTACTAAATAAGTACATATATAAAACATATAACATACTTAAAGATCAGTAACATTACATACTTCCATTTCTTCCAATTATGAAATTAACGTGTGGCCCAAACTTGATGTCGAGTTTGTGGTGACACATAAAATTCTTAAGAATGACTCTTTGAATGTTTCCAATTTGGCATTTGTCCTGCAGAAACAAAAAAAAAAAAGAAAAAAAATATGAAAAAGAATGTAATTTGAAAATCTATACAAAACTGAAAATGTACAGGTTCAATAAGACAAAAAAAAAAAAAAAAAAAAACCAGATTGTATACTTACAGCCATAGTTGGGCCATACACAAAGTCAGGGTTCTGTGAGGTAACAGATACATTTCCATCAGAGCTTTCATTGTCATCATTATCATCCATTGGGATAGTGAGAGTTGTTTCCTGAGAGGCCTTTGATCTTTTTCTTTGCACCATGGCCCCTTCTTCTTCATCATCACTTTCATCCAGAACTTTTGTTATCCTAGCTCGTTTTGGCATCTGAAGTAGAAGGAAAAAAATGTTAAACAGAAAATATAATTCTCATTTATATTTATTTATAAAAACATCATCTTTTTTTTTTTTTTTTTACTGCAATCATTCTAAATTAAACTTTTTGTACATAATCACTTTTACTCATATTAGATGGGGCATATAAATAAGTAAAATATTGTGAGGAATAGGTAAGCTAAGAACTGAAACCTGTATACATACGAGTTGCTTGGGATTTAATAAGACAGAAGACTCGTTAATGCTGACAAAGAGATGCATAATAGAATAATAAAAATAATTTTACCTGAGGGTTTCACAAAGACGCAGTTACAGATCAAAACAATAAAGCAGGTCAGAAAGAAAGATAATCAGCAAAGGTTACTAAAAATTATAACAAGTGAATACTATTGAACCAGTCTAGAAGAAAAACTAAATTCAACACCAGCCTGAAGAGGAATGGGTGCCATCAGGCTATCTTGCCCTAGAAACACCACATCTACTATGACTGCAGTACATATGGTAACCCTATGACTCTAATGGATCATGGGACTTGTGATGTGATGATGACACATCATTGCCTAAATACAAGCAATTTAATTTAAGAACACTATGTAAGATAACCAAGTTGACTACAATATTTAATTACTCTTGCTTACTAACAGAAAAAGAGAAGTTAGACATGAGATAAAAGAATTATGACTCTGGGATTCAAATCAACAAAAACAACTATTTCTTGACTAAAGCAAATGTAATGAAATTAAAAGGCAAACAAATTGAATAGGAATACACAAAGAGACAACTCTCATGTTTTTTTCTGAATTGTAAAAATATGCACTGAAAAAGTAATTATTCAAAAAATATTAAGAATGGACAAATAGAATTCACAGTAATATTGATGTTCTTTGAAAGATTAGCTTTTCTCATGTTATGTGGGAGAAATGCACCAAATGATCTTCATTTGGTACAATTCAATTCTACATCTTACAAAAATGCAAAAGGATCATCAATTAAAAAATATGGAAGTCCTACAACATGAATGTTTACATGCAAATAAGAATTTATTTATGCACTTGATCAATTCTATTTATAGCCAATGCACAGGTACATAGCAGATAGCAAATACATGCCTAAAGATTTTGCAAAAAGGAAAAAGTCTTTTTTCTTTCAACCAAAATACTTGATATTTAGCAGAAATACATTTACCCACTTGTACTTGTGTAATTTTCAAAATTCATTGTTAAAGTGGTGTTGAATAAGGGAGGTTAAAAAATACAGAAAGAAAATGTAAAAAAAGTTCAAAACTGGTCATGACAAAAAAGTAACAGTTGGATTGCTATCACTCACACACTCTGAGAGAGAGAGAGAGAGTGTGTGTGTGTGGGGGGCATAGTTAAATGGACATAAAGGGAAGACTGCCCAACAAACATAACTGACAAAGTTTGCAATAAACAATACAAAAAACAGGGAAAAAAATTAATATAAAGCAAGCAAATAATATATGCAAGTCAAATTAATGAAAGCAACAGTAACATGGAAAAAACTTCACAAATTAAGAATTAGGGTTGACACATAAGAGCAAATTCAGATAAGCAAATGTAGCATTCTGATTTCAAGACAAGACAGGCTGGAATTGAGCCATATGAAATTGAGAATCAGCCTATTTTATTGGCTAGGAAGAAATTCCAGTATGCATTTATGTGCTTCTGCCCATAAATTTAGGAGGAGAAAGTGTTTTGCATTTATTTCCATTTAAGATTGGAATATATATATATATATATATATATATATATTTGGGTAGCAACATTTCTTTCAAACATGTTTTGTTGAATATGACAGACAAGGAAAATTTTATGATTTTTTTTTTTTTTTTTATTTAGTTTTGCGAATATTTTTCCATTTGGTGATGCGGCTTTGAAATAAAAATGCATAAGTATTCTTACACGGACTACATGAAATGATTTATATATTATATTTATATAATAGAACCAAAAATATTACACTATCCATTCACAAATTCATGAATGTTTGGTTAAAGTGATTATTATTTTTACATAACAAAAACTTCATGAGAGTCATAAGAGAAGTCTAAGATGAAGGCGAATAAGTGTAAATGTCATAGAAAAGTGAAATATATATGACAAAACTGACTAAAATAAACAAAAAAGATAACTTTTATGACTGGAAAAAGAAACAGTCTAATTTTAAGTGAATTAACAAAAATGGATTCCCTGTCAAAGAAGCAAGAAACAAAAGACAGAAACCATCATAGGTGCATATTATGTCAATGACTTTGCACTTTTTGCAATTAAAATCACATAGGTGGAATCACTATTGAACAGTCAAGAGAAAGCAGCAAGAGGAATAAGACTTTATGTAAAAACAGACAAAGCAGAGTTCACATGCTTTAATTAACAAGGCTCGATGAAGTACTGTATTTGATGGCTTGGCTTATCAATTTTGTATATACTTACCAAATCTTTGTGGTTATAACACACAGCATAGAAAAAAGACGTTGGCATTTAGATTTGGTCATATATTTTCAGATAAGCTTGTCAGTTAAAAAAAAAGAAAGAAAAGTCATTAAAAGGACTGCTCTTAGGTAAGACACATAGCCTAAAACTCACAATCAAACAAATATACATAGAAATGAAAACCTCGGTACTTTTCTTATTAAACTAATATTCCCAACTTCTGTAGTGGGTGCAAAATAATAATACCTCTCTTCAAATTCGGAGGACTGAGGGAAATTGTTTTTGGACCAATGAAAACCTTCCCTTCATCTAAGAAGAAGAAAAGAAAGTAATGAGCCTACACAAAATTCTTTTTTACATAAAATTAATCACAGAAAAGTGTCTGAAGTGATGCATGAGGTTTCATTTCAGTTCATCATGACCTGCATTGAAGTTCTCATCAGTGTAAAATTATTTGCCAATTATATTATTGGCCTCTAACCAGCATGCAGCACTTCAAGGAATTTCTTCTAAACAATCCAAGAAAGCTAAGTATTTCAAACTCTCTTTGTCTATTTTTGAACCTATGCAAATCATATATCCCTTTGCTGAGCAACAAACGCTTTCACCTTTGTTTTAAACATTTTTGAATATTATTTTGTCAGTTCATTTAACCTGTTGTATGAACATTTCCTCTTCATGACTATATGTTTAAACTATGAACTTTAATACCGATTTATTTTCCTGAAATGAGCTACTGACACTACTTCAAATGTGTAAATTCGTGAATAAATTCCTTATCTTGGTTTTGTTAAATTTACTCATGTGTTTCCTCATTATTATCATTCTTCATTAATGTTCTTGGCGGGGGTAAATCAACCATTAATTTTAAATTAATCCCTAAGCCCCATGCCATTTATACTCCTAACTAGCAATTAAATGAAGAGAAAAGACAAAACAAAAAAATGAATCATTGTTAATTGACCATTGTTAGTGTAGTGTTGTCATTGTAGCAAGTAATAAAAACACAAAAAAAGTTATTCTTTCATAAATAGCATTATGTTGTCTTCAACTTCAGACTTTGTCAATTATCATTGACCAGTGGGACCCTACAGTCTCATATGCAATGTAAGTGGAAGTTTACTTCTCTCTGTGTTGGGTGTTTATATCTGTTGCACAGTTCTTTCTAATGTGTTACACTGTGACAGTCATTATGTTAACATGTCAGGACAGACATTTAACATCAGATGAACTGTAGATCTCCACTCCTGTATGATTTCTGCACATGATTTCTCTGAAGGAAACTGAATGTGAAAAGTCTATTTCAACATAATCTCCTCAGTACATAACTACAATCATAAAATTTCATCGCTAAATAGGATATTTCTGGGTATCACACTGATTTGATGCTATTGTTTTGGCTACAAGTAAATTATTTTCTGTATTTATTATATTAAGCTTAAAAATACTACAATTATTTTCTTTTATATTATCCAATTTATATTGGTTTTAAGGAATTTTTACCTAAAAAACAAGTGATTAATAAAAAAGAAAATCAAAAGCAGGTCCCATTAGTGATGGGCAATTACGATATTCGTTATCATTATCAGCTATAATAAAAAAGATTTTAAATCTTAGAAAAGATTTAATGACAAATTTAAAGGAACAAATCAGACTTTAAGTGTCTTTAAATTTGAAATGAAGTTAGAATGTAAATGACTACTTGAAGTGAATTTTTTTTTACTCGTTTTTTTGCAAATGAAATTCTATGAAGTAAATTACTGCAGCATAAAAATAAGATATTTCAGTTAATTTTTCAAAAATAAACCAAGCGAAATTAGAACAATTTTTTCGTTTCGATAATGTAACTTTATCAAGATCTGTGGTAATTAAAAACACAAAATTTAAAAAATTGATACTCGTGTCAAAACAACCAGCAACTTTTTCAAATCTTTCGTTTTCACTTTTCAGTTAAGTGAAAAAAATATGTTAAATTTAAAATAAATATTTATTTTATTTAACATGTCCAATCAATTCCAATTTGATCATTTCATTTTCAACGTAAAGGTTAAATTGGCTGTCATAAACTTAAAAGCAATTAACTCAAAAAAAGTTAAAAGTAAAAAAAACCGTAAGTTCACTTTTTCCAAGTTAAATGACTTTTTTTAAATCTTTGAGACGCAACATCGTTGCCCAGAATATTTATCAAAGAAAAAAATAAAAATTTTAAAATATAGTTATTTAGTAAATTAAATAAATATTTTTTTCAAAATAAGATTTTTTACGCATTTTAACTTAAAATATCAATCAGGTTTTAAGTTTTAATTATGCAAACTGATTTTGAAAACTAAACTCGAATGATAAAAAGCAGTAACTTTTAAAAAAAAATTCTTTTTTAAATTTGTAAGAAAAAGACAGTAAAATATGGAGGGGAAAAAAAAAAAGAAAAATAAGGAAAAACCTAAATAAAGTTTTTTTTTTAATGTTAGAATTAGATTTAGGGATTTTCCTCTTTTACTTCTAATTTATTTACATTTGAAAAATTTGTTGTATTTTACTAGGAATTTGGTTACTTTTTTATGTTTCATATTCTTAATTTTCTATTTTATAAAAGAAAACTTAAAATTGTATTTACGTAGCTGTTAAACTTGCATGAAAGAGATTTTTTCATTGAAATGTTTCCGTGAAAATGATATGATGTACAAAGATTTTTGTATCAGAAACAAAGATATTTTTTTTTAATTTATCATTAATTTACTTATTTACATATTAAATATTTTGCTATATTTATACTTTCTTTTAAAAACAAAAAAACAAAAAAATATCCAGGAAGTTCCTTCAGTGATTCACTAACAATACATTCATTTATTTATTTTTAATTCACCATATATTTGTATTGGTAGTCTTCAAACTTTTTTAAAACAAAAAAGGCCGATTTAACTAAAATAAATTTTCTTATAATTAGCTGAATTCTAAACTTAAAAAAGAATGAAAGACTTTTTTCCTTTGGCGATGTTGTTAAGCACACACTGGACGATAAGCAAGTGGACATTTACACTGACATTGTTCTAAAATAACGAAACAAAATATTCACTTGGATTATACAAATATATCATGAAGATGAGTATGTACATGTGGACCTTCTGATCTAATTAACTCACCTTGATCACTTGGAAGACAAACAAGAAAGTAAAAAAACACAACAAGGTTTTAACTGCGTGAAGAAGCGGCGACAAATTGTAAACAGCCGTCCGTCATTGCCGCCATCAATATCACGTGGTACGGTGAACGGGTAAAAAATTTCCCGCCTCAAAATTCAAACATAGATCGTTTTCATCATAATTTACCCCATTTTCTGAAGTAAAAGTATTATGTCTTATTATTCGGACCAGTATGCTCATCTTGGTTATTTTTTTTATTATACCTACAACGTTTTGGACGTTGTGCCCCCCCCCGGCTTTATTTAGGTGTCTGTTGTTGTACTCGATAACATTCTCGGAATTTTTAAATGTATCTTCTATTTTTAGTCAAGTACATGAGAATTGATTGTTGTCATTCCGCTTTCTTTGCTGAGAGGAAATCTCCTATCAGTTAATTACTTAGCAGTCTATGTCACTTGTTTGCTTCTTCTACTAAACTAGGCAATGCGCCAAGAAACATATGACCTTGGGGTCAACCGAACACTAGGTCATGTTTCTTGGTTTCCTGACAATTGTCATTTCAATCCATGTGTAGTGTTGTTAAAACTAAAAGTTACATACTCTGATTCCGTGCAAGAAACAGACAAGCGACACACAGGTAGATAATAACTGATGTGAAATATATCTTAAGTATGAAAAGTGGAATTAATAAACGAACAAATGAAACACGGATGAAGAAAACTGGTAAATAAAACTGATCAGAATTATCTCCCAATAAAATCTACTCAGTGGTGGGATTCAAAATTTTTTTTAACATCAAACAAAACTATTTGTCTATGAAATTAGATTTGTCTTATTTTACATTCCTACTTTTTTATGGATAAATGCCAAGGGAATTTAATAACCGGTTCAGGGAAATTATGTAATTTTAGTAAACCGTCGGTGCAAAATGTTGCGAACCCCTTGGATTCCATCATTGAATCTACCCCTGTGGATTGAAAGAGGTTAAATTAAAAATTTTAGGTTACCCTTTACGACGACAGGCACCTGAAGAACACCGGGGAGTACAACGGTATTGTGAGTATAAGAAACGAATAAGGCATCTATTTCTTTGTGTTTTTATCAAATTTCAGATATAAATTGTCATCGAAATAAGTTTTGACTTTTTTGATTATTTCGTTTAGGACTGCTATAGCCAACCTTGTTTCTTATACAACGTTTTAGACTTTAGTCTTTCTGAAGTGTGTGTCGGGCCAAGATGTCTTTCGGAAACTCTTAACGACTACTTCTGGAATCAGCTTAACTGTGCTATGATGGAAAGGTAATAAAAGATTAAGGAAGCCTCATATGAAAAGTGAATGTACAAACGAACTTAGTGAGAGTTTACTTTCTTAACACTATTTTTTCAGTTAAAGACTCTCGTATGAGAATACAAATCCATTAAAAAGCTTCTTATAGCATGTAGCTGTCCATGCTCCTCCGCAAGAAGGGGTTAATAATGATTCTTTCACGCAAAAAACTTTTAAAATTCATAGAAAGATTCAGCCTCAACAGTACTATATCAGCTGAAAGGAAGCAATGCTAAGAACAAGAATTATGTCCCTTACTTTTTGTGGTGATACGTACTAAATAGAAGACACCTGCTCATTGGCCAATATTAAGCCCACCAATGCTGACGTTATGCTCACCTATATAAGGCGCGAAATACAAACGCAGTGGAGTCAGTTTTCTGGTAAGATGCCGGGCGTGGTTTTTGTAGTTGTTGTTGTTGTTGTTGTGGTGTTTGAGTAAGTGCTCGTGGTAAATGAATATCTTATATTATTAAAGTCCCACATTGATTTCGTTTAGTGAACTGATGTCTCTGCCACAGTTAAGGATTGTGTTTGTTTTTGTTTTTTTATTACTAACGCTATTTTGGTGAACAGTGGCAAACCACAACTAAAAGTTTCATACATTCTCACACAATTACCAAGCGGTCAATCGCGTGAGAGCACAGGAAACAAGTGTGTGTTGAATAAATACTTATAATCTATTTTAGAGACTTAATTCAATACAATAGCATTATGAACACATTAAAAAAAAGTTTCACGGGGACCAGATTATCCGTATGTTAGAACATTATACTATTTTATAAAATTCAGAAGATATATAATATTTATATCGTGTTAGTTTATCAGGCTGAAATTTTTTTTAAGGAACTTAAATTTACTGTAATGGACATATGTATTGTTCACTTCACATGGTGAAGCTGAAAGATTGCCAGCGGATTTAAAACAAAGAACTGTGAATGCTTGCAATTCAAGAATGAGGTTTGGAGCAGCAGCTAAGCAGTTGTCAATATCCAAGTCAATTGTCATGAAAAAATATCGTGTGACAAAAAAAGATTGTCTGTAAATGTATACTGAACCTCTTCACAACTGCCCGTCCTAGAATCACTGTCTGAGCCTATTACTCAGCCAATCGATCTTTTCACTCACTTTTTTTTTTAACTTAGGAAGTTTAATGCGAAACTGGTTGAAACGCCCTCAAGAATGAAGAGGGCGCGTCACAAAAAAAAAAAGGAGAAAGTGAATTTTCAAAGAGACTATGGAATCCTCCATACTTGTCTGTCACTCCCTACAAGAAGATGCACAAATTAACCTTTAACCAATCATCACTTCACTTTTCCAAACTCAACTTCCCAGTGGAAGTACACAGAAATATAGCAAGTTGAGACAAATCTTTTTTTTTTTTTCTGCGCAGCTGTCTGGGGCCTATTTGAAAACCAAAAAATCTATAAAAAGAATCGCTCGACTTGATTCAAGTCAGTGAGACACTGAGTTTCGAGAGATGCCAGCAGACTCCACGCGTGCCAACACACTGACTCAATAACACTACTAGCCTCTCATCAACACAACTCACACTACTAATGCCGCGAGGAGAAACTTAACTTACAATTTACTAAAAAAGTTGACATTATCACTACGAAATAGTAATTGTACATTTAATCAACGTTTAGCATATCAGTCAAAGGTACACAACTCTTCATAACTTGAATCAACACTTACAATTGTCACACACATACACACTATTATTTGAACTCACGCAATTGACATCTTACCTTGCAGAAATCAAACTATTTTAATTTCACAAGCAAACTTAAACCATCAACATTCATTCACTAAATCACTGCATAGACACTCTTTGCAATCTTATCTCATTTGCCATGTTTAACAAGCAACCTATTGTAGCGACTGCTATGTTTTTCCACGCCCACATTTTATTCGTCTGCGTTTGGCTAATAAATCAATACTGTCTTTCTATAGGACAATTTAGCCATCGCAGTCGTTGCTTTGAATTTTTCGGTTTTTAACTTGCTTACTTGTTTCATTCGTACAAATTTAGCGATTGGTCAAATTTTAACCAATCACATATTTTAGTGCAAAATCAACTTTTTCCGCGGTTTCGCTGGGAGCCTATCTATAGCTTTAAAAGAGGCGACTTTTTCACAAGCCGCCAGTAGAGTCTACTAAATTTCGCATGTCAACACAAACCTATGACTTTACTCACAACATTTCAAACGCACACACAGACACAGAATTTTGTAATACATATATACATATCTCTCTGTGACTCAGCCAAGTTCAATCAACCAGGACTCTGTTGATTTCTCTAACACAACACACTTTCTGATCAATTGTATTCTTGTGTTATCTATTCTAAGATTCTATTGATTTCTCAAATCAAAATATGGTAAAAGGAAGCAACTTCTTTTCCCTTAATCTATATATTGAATACAAGTTACTGTATATTTTGTTCTTGTATGTTATTTCAATATATACTTGTTGATTCACATTTGGAGTTTCGTTGTTTTCTTGAAGCATTAATAATACAAAAGATATATGCGCTAAAGAATGCGCGCCATAACACTATCTTCACAAATATATATATATATAAATTCATGTTATTGTTGAAATCTATAACTACGTTGTTTTTTCCTTGATTTCTTCAAGTTGTAGTGTCTTCATATGTTCATTTAATTTATTTGTTGTGTATACGCACATTTTAGGCCTTCACACAATTTCACCTTCTGACACATCTTAGCATAAATTTCCGCAACAAGACAACCAACTCTTGCGTTTAGAAACAATACCTGATTAACTCTATCCAGTTATGCAGTCTGCCTAACTACAGCTAGTTCGCAAGTTAGTGGGCGTCAGCCTTATTCCCAATATATTACAAAAAACAACAGCTCTGTCCCAGGAAGAAAAATGGTAATTGGTTCAGCAAACAGGGATCTCTGGCCTGCAGACAAAATTGATCTTTAACTCTTTCCCTCGATCGTCAGTCTGAAACGAAAACTTCAGTTGACGAAAATATACTTACACGTGTCTTTCTCTACTCAGTTTTACAAAGTCAGTCAGTCAGTTAAGTACCATACGTGATATACGCTAAGGTGATAATGTATCTTTCGATACATGAGTGACGAGGCAGATTTTTTCCCGCAGTAGGTTGCTATTTCTTTCTGCGGTAGACTGGTTGCCAACCAAGGCTAAAGAACCCAGTCTGCCCTGCTATTCAACCCATAGATGGATTTATACCTTTCCCAAGGGTATTTGTGCGTAAGTAAATCTAAGGAACTCGACTGAAATTCAAAGTCGGCTTTCCAAGTTCTCACTCCGTTACACCACAACGCACATTTTTTTTTTTTTTTAACAAGGGTAAAGAGACTTAAATTGAATTGTTTGGTCGGAAATCAGACACTGTGAGTATGGAGGAAAAAACGAGAAGCCATGAACTCTAGTAACACCATATCTAGTCTAAAACGGGGGGGGGTCAGGGGTTGGAACTCTTATGATTTAGGGTGTTTTAGGGCAATTGGAACGGGCAGTTTGTTTAAAATTGTCGGAACCATGAAAAAAAAAAAAAAGAAACGAATATCGTCATATTTTAAAGAAAAATCTGAAAATTCTGCCAGGTAACTTTTTGAAAGACAGCGGGTTTCAGTTTTTAAACATGATAATAATCCTAAACACACTGGCGAACAATTGGCTCGAAGACAACAAGTCAAATGTGTTGCCTTGTTTTGCGATCGGACATGAATCCAATAGAAAAATTGTGGCGAGAACCTAAAGTTACGGTTCATTT